TTTGTGTCAGAACTTTTACCTTATCGTCCAGCTTCCTGGCGCTGAAAGAAAGCTCAATGTAGTCATCGTTTCCTGTCAGCTCCTCGGCTGAAACCTGTAAACAACTCAGCTTTCAGATCAGGAGCAGAAAGAACAAACAGGCCAACCTCCCACAGAACCGACCCAAATTCTGCCTCTGGTACCGCTCAGGCCAGACCAAGTCAGAACCTGACTGTGGCTACAAGGTTAAAATCCCAGAAAATGGAATCGAACTGAATGACTGACCTGAATTCTTTTAAGCAGCAGAAAGTCACATTAATGTTTAAACCAGACTCAATCAGCTGATTTTATGGACATCTGGATTCATTTTAGATGCCTTGTAGAAAAGTCTCAAAGCAGATCAAAGAATATGAAACTAAACATGAAAAAAGAATAAAATGTTAGAAAACACAAAGTTTAATAACAAATGCCTCTTTCTGCAGTTGGAGCAGCTTCCTGCTCAGAAATCCTTTCAAAATAAATCCCTGTGAAGCTTTTGGAGTGCAGGACTCCGTTCAGATGAGGTTCAACCTGAAATCGTGTTGGTCCGGCTGAACGGATCAGAGCCAAGAGCAGAGAGCAGCCCACTGACGGAGGCTTTGGATGAAACCGGAACAAACCGGATCAAAAACAATCCACTCCACGTTTCTCCACAGGAAACCGGATCTCCATCTATGAAACTTCAAGTGTGCTACAAATAAATCATTTCACTTTTTATTTAAAATTCAACAGAAGAGCAAAAAAATCTGATCAAATGGATTGAATTATTTATGTTTAAAGATCTGCAGATTCTGCTGGTCCGAGAGTAGTCCCAGTCTGAGTCTCGTCTCGGTCAGAGTCTGGCCCTGGTCAGAGTCTAGTCCCAGTCCGAGTCTAGTCCCACTCAGAGTCTGGTCCTGGTCTGACTCACCGTGATGATGGCCTTTCCAACCGTCCCTCCTGGTCGAAGCAGAGCTTTAGAAAGTTTCCTCTGAGAGATGATCTGCAGACACAGAACCATCAGAACCTCAGGCTGTGCATTCTGAACACAAATCACTTCCTGTCTGAGTTGAGTCAAAATGTTCTGAAGCAGCAGGAGGTGTGGGTGGTGCTGAAGGTCTGGTTCATAGTTCATAGAACCTGAAGAGATGATTTCACTCTGCAAGACCTCCTCCTGTCAGCAGAACCATCCACCATCTGGCTGCTGGAGGAGCTGGCAACCGAGTGGAGTGGTGCTGCTGGCAAGGAGATGAAGAGGAGCAGCAGGAGGAGGAGGAGGCTCAGATGATTGCTTCATTATAGACTAGGCTGTTAATCCACTGCTTCTTCAGTTTTGTGTTTCCTCACAGGAAACTTAACTGAGTGTCCTCCCTTAACCGAGAAGTCCTCCCTGCTCCTCAGGAGATCTCCAGGAGAAATCAGATCTCCATCACCTCTACAGAGACCAACAGTGGGGGGTGTCTGACACACACTCTAAACAAAAGACGTAAGGTTAGGAAGTGTCATAAGCTCTATAGGTGAAAAGATGACCCACGTTGCAAGGTCAAAGGTCATCTGAGATCTGACAAGCTTTAGCAAGTTAAAGGTCATGACAGCTCAGGTTGGATTCTGGAACTGAAAAGACCAAAGTCGAGGTGTTTACCCATAATGCACTGCAGCTGAGTCCAGCTGTCAACACAGTGGTGGAGAGCTGATGGTTTGGGCTTGTTCTGTTTAGCTAATTCTGGTTTTTATTTTTGTTCTGAAGTGAAACAACTTCTTTCTTTGTGTTTTTAATTTTCTGTCAAACCCAAACAGACTCATCTAAAACCTTCAAAACAAAATCCAGCAGACGGAATTAAAACGTTCCCAGTTTTACTGAGATGGATCTGACGGCCTCTTGTGGCCTTGCTGACAGATGGAGGAAAGTCCCGGTACAAGCTCTCCTCCTAGACTTCTGAACTTCTTTTCCCACAATCCTCTCCTCACAAAGGCTTCACATCATTGGTTCCATCATCGTCAGCCTCAAAGGTCAGACCAGGATGGTGATCTCCACAGATCTTTACAGCTACGCCAGAGCAGCCAACATCTATCTCATCAGCATTGTCTGGGTTGAAGCAGGAAGCTGCTTCCACAGTCACCCCCCCACCCCCACCCCAAACACACACACACACACACACACACACCTTGTGTGTGTGTGTGTGTGTGTGTGTGTGGCACCCACCTGACCCAGTGTACACTCCACTGATCCCAGGAAGTCAGCCTCCTTCAGACCGTTGTGACTGCTGTTGATGTCATAGAGCTCAAAGCGAAGACGCTGCACCTCTTCAAAATAAAAGTCCAGGGTGAAAACCTTTGAGTAGGTCGGGTTGACGCAGCTCCGGATCATCTCGGTCCGGTCCACCTGTAGCAAAAGTCAGAGTAGAAATCTTTACTGAAATTTTCTGCTGGGGTTTAACCTGACGGCACATGAAAGGTTAATGAAGAACTTTGTGGAAGGTTCTGCTGGAACCACATGATCCAGATGAAAGGTCTGAATGAAGAAGCAACTCTGTGGGAGTGAGGAGCGGCATGTTCATCCAACAGTCAGACAGATGGAGCTCCTCTCTCTCATCTAATTACAGACGCTGTAATCAGACATTTAACAAACGTCTGAATAGGCCTAAGAGGACTCCAACATGGAGACGAAGAAGAACCCTGCTGGATCATTTCCTCTTCCTGTTGGAGTTTGAAGGAAGAAACTCCTCCTGGATCAGCAGGTCTGAGCTCAGATCCCGGTTCTCTTTGGTGTTTTTATAGATCAGAACCAGATCGGGTCGCTGAAAAGCTGCTGGTTTCAAAGATCCCTACATAAGATCTGGGTTTGTTTTTCCAATTCTGTCTCAGAATTTATAAAATCAGACAATTCTGAGTCTTATTATCAAGGTGGAAAAGCAGCTGATTAGTTTGGAAGAATGAAGATCCTGATTCTGATGGGTTAGATCTGAAACTGTCCTGTTTGGGGTTTTTTTGTCTCACATCTGGTCTCCTGGTGAATAACAGACATCCTCCATCCAAACAAACAAGCAGACGAGATGATCCCTGTAGAAGATGGAGTTAAAACAGCTGATCTGTGTGAGGAACTGACGTGAAGGTTCTGATCTCCATCCACGCTCTCACACTAATGAGGCAGAACCAAAAATACCGTCACAGATCTGGCAGCTAAAGATGTTTGCCGTTTGTGGGGGTTGTGTGAAACTGAAGCGTGATGGTTTAGTAAAGACTGGAGGACTTCACATCTACTCCATCTCCTCAGAGATTCAAAACAAATGTTCAGAACCAGATGCTGGTTCTGCATTAGGCTTTTATTTTTTTAGAAGGCTTTCCTTCTAAACCTAAAGATTTATTTTTGTTAGTAAATGTTGTCTTTTTCTAAAATCAGGCTTGATATTTCACAAACTTCGTCCGGCTCGTGGAGAGTACAGACGCTTTATTTTGTTTCTCCTCTCCTTTCCTCTCCCTCACTCCTCATCCCAAGGCTCTTTGTCCTGTCTTTGTGTGCACGGCGCTTTCTGCATTTTTTCTGGAAACTGGAAATTATTAAAAATGGATCTGGTCAGTTGGTCTCTCAACGCGATTGACAACATTTTTTCAACGATGAGAACGGGAGAAGGGGCTCCCGGACGCCCCTCTGGGACAGAGCCAGCTGGGTATATCGTGGACTGCTGGAAACGGTGGAACATGATCTGCCTCTCTCATCTGTCTGTAGAGGATTATGAAGATGTTTGGATATTCGTTGTTTTGGTGTCAGGATTACTGCTGTTTGGCCTGAGCGGTTACCTGGCTTACCGGAAAATTAACGAGCTTTCGAGGAATTTTGGCTCAATCCCGGAGCTCAGGGATGGAATGCATCGTGCTGTGAACACACAAACTCATATAATTGTCGAGATGAGTCGTAAACTTGGAACTTTGGCTGAGAATCAGGCTCTGGCACAGGTGGATTCCATCAAGGAGCAAGTTGAAGGATCAGCACAGATTGGGATAGATTAATTACGCCATTATTGGATCTAGAGGGGTTGAAGACCAACGGAACTCTAGGGCAGAGAGGAAATTATCTCTGTCTGGCCCCAAAACATTTCTTATCTGAATCTGATGCCCTTGGAGCCTGTGAGACTGAAGTGAATACTCCCCCCTCGGAAGAAATGTGGAATGCTGCCGTCGCTATGGAAACTCTTTCTCCCTATCCCAGCCTGGGCAGGACTGTGACCGGTGAAAGCCGTGGAACCGTATCTAGGAGTCAATGTGGCCTCTAACCCATTAATCTCCCTCCCCTGTCCAAACGGAGTTGGTGAGCGCTGCTCCATGCGGCTGCACGCACTGAAGTGAGGAGAGTCCTAACCCTACCTCCCCACCTAGTGGACACTTATGTTATGTACTGTCTGCAGTCTGTGTGCATATCTGTCTGAGGTGTTTTTTGTATAGCAAAGCTACCCTCTCTGTGGAGGGTAACTCTGAAGTGACTTTTTTCCCCTCCCCCCTGACTCTATCCTCATATTAACCCTCTTGATCTATTATGGTAGCGCAACTTGAGTTGCGAATGACCACAGTCACCAATTTTTGTCATGTGTCTATGTAAGTATGTCTGATCTCAGAATTGTGTGTACCGAAACTCTAATTTCCCTCTGGGATTAATAAAGTATCTTTGAATTCAATTGAAACATCTGGAGATTCAGCATCATTTCATTTACCAGCTGAGAGCCTCCTGCTCTGAGGCCTTCTGACTGGTAGTCTCTAAATCACATCTGATCTGACAAGCCACCAAATCACAATAAAAAGAGGCGGGGCTTAACATTGAACACAAAGAAAACAGAAACATCAGGCTGGAAACTCCCGCTGAGTTTGTGCTGGATGGGTGGCGTCTGAAATCAGAGTTTTATTCATCAGAGAGGATAAAAAACAAATCACCCTCCAGCCCTCAGGAGGACTCGGCCATCTGAACTTTAACCTCCTGAAGATGAGCAGGAGATGAAGAAGAAAGAAGGGGAAAAACAGACAGGTGGGAGGAAGAAGAGGAGATGGAGACTGATGCTTCATCTGCATTTCTACAGGTCTAAAAATACAAATATGGGCCAGCAAAAAGAGGTCTGACACACACACACACACACACACACACACCTCCTAAAAGCACATACAGAGGAACGCTTGTACCATAAAACATTCTGCTGGATATCCTTCGTGTTTTCAGGACTGTAGGCAGCAGAGGAACAAGAACCTTCGTGTCCTATCTGACCTCAGATTCTATAAACATTTGTTTTGGTAATGTTGGATTCTCCAGTTCCATTTCAGCCAGCTGATGAGATTCTGCTGGGTTCTGGATGGAGGGCTGTGTGATGGACCAGATGGATGACAGTTGATCCTGTCCTCCCTGGCTGAGTTTGTAACTTTGGTTGTCAGCAGCACTTCCACACTTTTCCACACCACTAATGTTAAATTAGTGCAGCTTTTAGTTTCAGCAGAAGCTGCTCGTGCTTCCCACGCTGACTTTGGAAATGCCATGAAGGAAAACCGGCGACGGAGCAGAACCAGCAAGACTTTTAATCAGGAATATGTGAGAAAAGAAAAGAAAAGAAAAGCGCGACTGGAGAGGGAGGAACGCCAACGGAGCTGGAGCTGATCCCCCACCCCTCCACCAGAGCCAATAAAACATTTACAGAAACAACCACAGAACAAAACCACCATTACACTTCAGGAATTACTGGTAGCACTCAAATCTCAACAAGCAGGAGCCTCAGCAGGATGTTGACACGTAAAACTAGATTACAGACAGGTCACCTGGAGGTTCTACAGACTGGATCAGGAGAAACCAGGTCTAGTCAGCTTCAGCATCCCCTTTCCTCTGATGATGTGGTCACAGGACCAGATTTAAGGAGAGCATGAGGAGGTGGAGGACAAGGAGGCAGCAGGTGGAGGTCTACTCAAAAGATATCACTGACACTGCTCCACATCCCTAATGAACAACAAATCACCAGAAGAGGCCAGGAATGGCAGGGCAGACAGGAGGAAAACGTCTTTATGAAAAGACGTAAACCAGGAAACAGAAACAATAAAAGTGATTTGTTTAACCTTCTCAGGCTTCAAATAAGTTTTGATAAAAGGACTGTTGGGGTTATTAGGAGCGAACAATTCGTAAGCGTTAACTTACTTTTGGATTCTTCAATAAATTCTGTAAATATGGGAATATTTACTGATTTATTAATTAATTAAGATATTCTTAGATATACGGGGCACCATTCCCCTTTTTCCGGGGAAAAATTGAATCCAAAACTCTTATCAGTCTTTCTTGAAGTTCGTAGAATCCTCGGAGCAGAGACTTCTCTTCGACACAACAAAGCTACTGGAGACGAAAATCTGAATTTTATAACGTTTAATTAACAATTTGTCAAATGAATAAACAGTGGCATAAATGAATAATAACCATGTGATATAATAAAAGGATGTATATTCAAAATAATGTTCAAGGTGTTTTGTGTGTATGTAGGATGTATGAATGGGGTCCTTTGTTCTCACAAAGGAGTAGTGTGTGTGCGTGTGTATGGATTCAAAATGGAGTCTTGAATACAAGATGGCTGACTCCTTTGTCTGGCTAAAGTGTGGGTGGCAACTTGCACTTTAACTTCCAAAGCACTTAGAATCAGTAGTAACTTAACCTTAAATCACTCAAAACATTTCAAAGGATCATGCAACAACACAAAAGATTAATCACGAGTTAATATCCTTAGTTTATCAGCCTGGCCATGGCCGAACATTTAAAGATACCAAACAATGATCAATAAGCAGTTTATTCTTTCAAAATGACCCGAAGGACGAATTTGGAACGAAAGAGGAAAACACGAAGCTACTTTTTAAGCAATAGACGCGGTTTATTGCTTATTCTGGACTATAGAGGAAACGGGAGAAGAAAAGGAGAGAAAAAAATGAGTTTTCTGATCACCAAAGCAGCAAGGCGTCCCCCGCTGTTATGATTTGACGGTTCTCCGTTTTTCTCCGCAGTTTCCAGCGTCATCCGTCGGTTTGATGCTTTCTCCGTTGTTTGGCTCCACGAGTGTTTCTCCACGGCTGGACACAAAGAAAACGAAGTTCCTTTTGGGCTGAGTTGACAACTTACAGCGTTTCTGAGAGCTGGATGGAGTTGTTGTTTCCTTCCGCTGGTTCTGTGTCCTCAAACATCAGCTGGAGGGGAGCAGAAACGAGCAGATCAGCGGTCCCGTGGGCTCAACTTGGCTCTTAGAGCTTCCGCGTGCTCAAAGAAGTCGGAGCGTTCGACAAGCGTGTCCTCACCGCCAGGTATCCTGGGCAAAAGAACGAGGTTTCTTTGTCTCTGCTGAAGATTTATGGTCTTAGTTCGCGGGAAAAGTCCACGGCTTCCCGCACATGCGCAGAACGTGTTTCTGGTACTAGGCGGTGACGTCATCACAATGCTTCCGTGTGCAAAGCATCATGGGAAATGAAGTTTCTTGGCGCTGATGTGATTATTTGCTTTTCAGAGCAATTTAAGCACAGTCATTTTGGAGAAAATCACTGCATAGTAATTTCCTCATGAGGTCAGACCCTCAACAGGACGAACAACTAAGTCCTTCAGGGGTACTTCTGAGTTAAAAAATGCTCAGAAGTACCCCTAGGGTTATCCCTAACCCTAACCCATAATCAGTCAAATATAATCCCAATCTAACATAATTCCAGTCTGATGTAATCAATTTAATATAATTCCAGTCTGACATAATCAGTCTAATATAATCCCAGTCAAATATTATCCCATTCTAACATACTCAGTCTACAATAATCCAAATCTAATATAATCCCAGTCAAATATTATCCCAGCCTCGCCTCTGTCAGTGCGCCCCAGGGCAGCTGTGGCTACACTGTAGCTCATCCCCACCAGTGTGTGAATGTGTGAATGACTGGTTGTGTTGTAAAGTGCCTTGGGGGGTTCCATGACTCTAGAAGGCGCTATATCAAATACAGGCCATTTACCATTTACCATTCTAACATACTCAGTCTACAATAATCCAAATCTAACATAATCCCAGTCTGAAAAAATCCCAATCTAACAAAATCCCAGTGTGACATTATCCCAATTCAACATTATACCACTCTGATTTATTTACAGTCTAAAATTATCCTAATTTAACATAACCCCAGTCAAACATAAACCCAGTCAAACATTATCTCAATCTAACATAATCCCAGTCTGACATAATCCCTGTTTTACATTATACGAATCTAACATAGGCCCAGTCTAACATAATCCCAATCTAAATATGTAGCTCTGCTTCTTGCCCTATGGCCTATGGTGATCGACACCAGCTCTCCACAACCCTAAACATGAAAAGGCAGCAATGGATAGATGGATGGATGGATGGATGGATGGGTGCTGCTCCAACAGAATAACTGGTTCCATGCTTTTTTCTGAACTGGAGTTTGTGGTCTTCGTAAAACGATCCACTGAAGGATTAAATCTAAATGGTTATTAGAAACAGGATCAGGACACATAATCAATAATCGAGCTCCTCCAGCGATAATCAGAGTCTCAGTTTCATCCCTTTCTCCTCCTTCTGGTCCTGGAGTGGAGTTCTAGATGATGGAGCTCTCGCTGACCTGGTTAAAGAAGAAAAAGTCGTCCTGACTTTAAATTACTGGAGGAGCTGCAACTTCACAGGGAAAAGGAGGTCATGAAAGCTGTAATTACAGCTGGAGAGTCACAGCAAATCGAGCCGAGCGCCCCAGTGTCGGCAGGTAAAATTCACCTTCGCTCTCCTGAGAAAACAATCCCATCAGCACAGGAATGCAAGAAGATCTGATGTCCCTACAAACTGGTGCTGCTGGAATAAACAGAACAATCCCAAGACTGGAGGTTTCCCACATCACATTCCGTGGAGCGCTGCTCATTTCCTAATGGGAAGAACAGGGAAGTCTCTTTAATGGGAAAGAAATCTCACAGCTGCTAATGAGGAGGTGACATCCTTCTGACTTTGTTCATTAGTGGTGGAGCCACCCCAGTTACTGGGAAGAGGTCACCAGCTCCAGAAGAACCACAGTAGAGATCGACTGGATCCTGTTCTTATTCCCGAGAGGTCGGTCTGACCTCTGACCTCTGGATTCAAGGGAGCGGGAACTGTGCCTAAGTAAGACTGGATCTTTAAATCAGAGCCAATCAAACTTCTGCTGTTGTCGCTCTTTAACTCATGAATAAGTCATCAAAGCTCACCCATCACAGTATGACCAGGCTCAGAGGCACATCGGCAGGGTTTCACACCCAAAGCTGCTTCAGTCGCTTAGGCTCTGTGAGTCTGGAGCTGCTAAACTTCAGCTTCATGTAGCTGAAAGTGAACTCACTTATTTTGATAAATATTAATAAACTGAATGCTTGTGTTTATTTTTGTGTCTGTGAGTATTTTCTGCTTCATGGTTTATGGAGTTCGGCTCTTTAATGGAAGATCTAGGAATCTGTCAGGAACATCCAAGATCCTCCGAGAACAGGAATCAAATCAGATGTTTCCAACACACTTTTACAAAACAGCTCCCGTTCCAGTGGCTTCTGTTTCATCTGTTTTTACCATCACACATTAGCTAAATGAGTATTTATTATCATCTACAGAAACATGAAGACCACGAAGCATCCCAGAGCCTGAACACAAGCCAAAAACACTTCCTGACTTGGGTGATTTTTCTCTGTTTCCATGGTAACCATGTTACTTTACATTCCAACTTTAGGGACAGGACTGGATCAGAAGCTTCTGCACCAGTCTGGGAAACGTCAGCTGGTCAGGTAAACATCAAACAGCTGGTAGCTGATGTTTCAGTGACAAACATTCTGGAATCAGACAGAAACTGATAATAAATCACAGACTGAATCACCTCTGACTTCCCCCCAGGAAATATGGACAAGATAATAAAATCAGCTTCTCCTCCTCTGCCACTGACCTGGACCTGTTCTCATACCTGGAACTGGACCACAGGATTTATAAACGCCGCTCCAGCAAAACCCGATGAGACAAATGAACTGAAGCTAAAGTCAGGAAAGAGGTCCAGGTTCTGACATCCAGCAGCCCAGGAGGAAATCAGCTGATTTGGGAACCTTCTGACACGGTTCAACACAGAACTCAACTCTGGAAGGAAAAATCAGTACCAACAATCATTTATCTACTCAAACAGAATCTACTGGTCTGAATAAACTAGAACTGATGAACATGTCTCCAGGAGACGCCTGAGACACGTCTCACTGAACTAAAGAAGACAAACGATAAGCGACTCCTGCTAATTAGACTGATGAGGGAGCAGTGGCCGAAAGGTCAGAGCGGTTGCCATGGTGACCCACCTCCATCCACTGCCCATGAGACTGCATTTTGAGGACAATGCAGGGGTCGGGTTTGGACAGAGCGTCCCGGTCTGAGATGCCTTTGCAAGTGAGTCTCAGCTCCACTTTGGTGAGACAAGGACTGCTGAAGAGTCCCAGCGAGTTAGCTGCCGACTCATAGATGTCCGTCATGGTGGACGTAGGACAGGAAGTCTGTAGGAGGACAAAACAGCTGGATCAATGCTCTGCAGGGGACGTTAATAAGACAATCAGACTCGTTGTTTAACAGCTGATTCTATTTTCTAATTACCTGTCAGAATCAGAACGGATGCAAACAAACAAGCTGTAATTAGATTAAAAAGCAGATTATTTTATCCCCGCTGTCATTAGAATCATTTCCTGTATTTGGTGAAACGTGTCAGATTCAGCTGGAGGATTTTATTGATGCTGATGTTTACATCCGTTAAATAACTCCTGATAATCTGACTGAGACCAGATTAACCATCCAGGATTTCTTTACTCATAATAAAAACTCGTCATTTCCAAGCCGCCCAGATGTTCATAAAAACACCTGAGAGTCAGCAGTGTTGCATCAGGAACATCTAAAGTTAAAGGAACTGTTCTGATGTTGGAACAAATCAGCTGTTCGGCACTGAATTATTTTATTCATCTGACTTTCTGAATTCGTCTTTCGAGCATTTCTGAATTGTTTCTTTAACTTTCTCCTTTGCAACAGACATGGAACGCTCCAGCAAGCAGCTGCATCAGTTCGTATAAAGGGAACTTCGATATTCCTTCATCTATCCTGCAACTTTCATTCAGTTTTAAAAAACATCTAAAAGATCCTGAAGGCGTATCAAGATCAGTTTTTGCTCATGATGTTTTTTGTGTTTCTGTTTGTTGGACCTAGAGAGTCCGATTCCACCAGGAACAGGAACAGTTCTCTGGACTTCTGCCTTTCCATTATTAGAAAAATAGACAGTTTGGACTTCAGCGGGAAAGCACAGGTGAGTAAATGAGCCTTAATTAACACTAGATAATTATCAGTGCGCTTATTTTAAGAATGTGCAAATTTCCTGCAATAAAATGCAGGTAGAGAGCATTAAAATAAAAGCTAGTGATGGATTCTAATGAGGCACAGTTGGAGAACAAGCTGTGAAAAGATGTGTGATGAACTCCAGACAGGAAACTGGTTCTGCTGGGTCAGAACTTAGAGATCATATCTCCAATCTGGACCACACACACACACACACACATATATACTGTATATATACATTATCCTATCAGCAGCACTCTGCTGATTAACAGCACAGCCGCAGAAAGGGATTTGAGGGAAAGTAAGGCGCTGCCAGCTCGGGTAACACAGGAAGTCAGGAGGAAGAATGGAGCTATTTCAGACCAGACCACAGATCAAGGATCAGGTTCTGATCCGATCACCAGTTTACATAATGGAAGGAGCCTTTACATTTGGCGGTGACTCAGACCTGTTTATAATAAAATCCTTTATTGGTTCTACAGAACCGTGGCCTTTGACACAACTGGGGGTCCACGGTGTGCTAGTGCCACCCTGACAGCAAACTCAGACCAACCCCCCCCCCACCCCCCCACCCCCACCCCCCACCCACCCCCCCGTGGCCTACCAGCTGTGGGCGGAACCGTTCAATTTCCAAGTTGGAGCTGATAGATCGTCCCACTGCTTGTATTTGGTGCTTTTAGCTGTAGCTAACAGCTAAGCATGGAGCAAAAGGAGGCACCTTAAAAATGTCCCTTTAACTGAGCAGCGGGCCCCAGCAGAGGTGGACTGGCAATCTGTGAGGTCCCAGAGTGGCCGGTGAGCTCTAGGGCCTCTGGATGTGCTTTGGGTCGGCGTTGCAATGGTGCTTAGCGTGTGTACCCCTTTAAATGGTCTCTATGTTTCTGTAGGTTGGGCATGGCATGGACTGCTGACTTGACAGTTGTCCAAAAGACGATCATTGACACCTTGCACAAGGAGGGCAAGACAAAAAAGGTCATTGCTAAAGAGGCTGGTATATTAACAGAGAGGTGAAGAGAAGGACAAGATGTGGTGGAAAAAACATCACAAGCAACAGGGATAACTGCACCCTAGAGAGGAGTGTGAAACAAAACCCTTTCAAAAATATGGGGGAGATTCACAGAGTGGACTGCAGCTGGAGTCAGTGCTTCAAGAACCACCACACACAGACGTATGCAAGACATGGATTCAGCTGTCGCATTCCTTGCGTCAAGCCACTCTTGAACAAGAGACAGCGTCTGAAGCATCTCACCTGGGATAAAGACAACAAGGACTGGACTGCTGCTGAGTGGTCCAAAGTTATGTTCTCTGATGAAAGTAAATTTTGCATTTCCTTTGGAAATCAAGGTCCCAGAGTCTGGAGGAAGAGAGGAGAGGTACAGAATTCCCGTTTCTTGAAATCTAGTGTAAAGTTTTTACAGTCAGTGATGGTTAGGTGTTCCATCTGCTGGTGTTGGCCCGTTGTGTTTTCTGAGGTCCAAGGTCAACGCAGCCATCTACCAGGAAGTTTTAGGGCACTTCTTCCTCCTGCTGACTGACTTTATGGACTCTGCACCTGCACACAAAGCTACCAGTACCTAGTTTAAGGACCTTGGTATCCCTGTTCTTGATTGGCCTGCAAACTCACCTGACCTTAACCACATAGAAGATCTATGGGGTATTGGTATTGTGAAGAGGAAGATGCAATACGCCAGACGAACAATTCAAAAGAGCTGAAGACCACTATTAGAGCAACATGGGCTCTATAAACCTGAGCAGTGCCACAGACTGATCGACTCCATGCTGCGATTGCTGCAGTTATCCAGGCCAAAGGATCCCCAACTAAATATGTTCATACGACCAACATTTAAAAGATTTTTTTTGCATTGGTCTTAATTGATATTCTAACTTTCTGAGATACTGAATTTGTGGTTTTCATTAGTTGTCGGTTAAATAATCAAAATAACAGAAATAAACATTTGAATTATATCAGTCTGTGTGAAATGAATGAATCTAATATACAAATTTCCCTTTTTGAATGGAATTACTGACATAAATAAATTTTGTCATCATTTTATAATTTTATGCAGCATCTGTAGACAATTAGTTTTGTTATCAATAATAAAACTAATGGTTTTATTATTTAAAATAAAACTAATTGTTTGCTCAAAATTATTAAAAAGGATCGATTTAGCATAAATAACATTTCAATTACAGCCTGAGATCAGATAGATAGGATTTCTTTTAAAGGACAAACCAAAAAAACATCCAGACAAATGTACTGATGCTGGTTGGAAGGACCAATACCGATTTCTGATTGTTGTGCGGCTGCAACGTCCTGAATTATCTCAAATTATCAGAGTGAAAAGAATACTTAAAATAATTCTGATAACATTAAATATTGAATCTGAAGGTAAAAGCTCTGTTCCTCATAGAGTGAATTAGCGTATAGTGATTGTGAGTTCGTGCCAACAATGAAAAAAATTGTCTCATTTCTGAGTTTCTGATTAGTAGATGAAGCAGAGTTTTTGCTTATTTCGGATTCATTTAATAAAATATGATTTATTTTTTGGGTTTTTTTTTCTATTCACTTTTTTATCATTGTTTTTAATTTAAAATAATCACGAAAAACAGACACCTCTTGAAACTGCAGATGTTCTTCATCACAGAGCTGAGCCCCCCACCACCCACTGGAGCTATCAGCTGATCAATAGCAACTAATCACTAATCAATGAGACCAGTCAGACCTTAGCTCCTCCAAACACAACATTCTGATCCCAGAACAGCTCGAGATTCTAAACCTGATCCCCCCAAAAAACACTGAAAACTTCCAGAAGGAGGAATCTATTCATTCAGCCAAAGGTGAGTTTACCTGTTCAGATGAAGAAAAACCTCCAGCTGAAAGTAAACATCCGAAAGTTCCCAGTTTCAGCTCAGACGGACTGAACTGAGATCAGCTCCACTCCGACAGACACACACCTTCATCATCATCCTCCTCCTCTCGTGGCTGCCGGAGAGCCTCTACAGCCTCCAGCCGCTTCTCACGGCTTTATACCGGGGAAAGCCTCAGTTACACTCCGGGAGGAGAGGGAGAACAGCGGAGGAGCGGGCAGCAGCGCCTCCTTCAGGCATATGAAATAATCAATTAATTCAAGTGAATTTGTTGATGAAGTCATTATAGAGCACAAGTACCTATAACAGGTGTGACTCAAACAAGGTCACGTGGTTCGGTCTACATCTGATTCAGATTTAAACCCAAATTTTGGGGGGGAAAGCTAGTTCGACTCCCAGCTTGTACTACAATTGAGTCTGTGGTAAAAAAAAAAAAAAAAGTTTAAAAGCCTCCCCTGTGTGAGCTGACAGGTGAAATTATACGGGTAGACTTTAAAATGTAAGAGAGTCATAAATAATAACTGAGTCAGTTCTGTGGCTTGGCATACAAACTTGCTTGTGTTGACTTGTCAGCGGGTCGAGTTCTGAGGATCTTGTGTCTGTTGAGGACGATCCAACAGCTGTCTGATCAGAATGCGAGTGAAGCGTTTTTGATTTTATGAAGCTTCACAGTTCAAATATCCCAGTGAACCATTTGCTTTTCATACAGTGGAACAGAAAGGAAGTCCTTCTAGCAAATCAGTGTGCTGATAAAGCACACTGAGAGCAAGTCACCCACTTAAAGAGCAAGTCACCCCCTACCAGAGTTTTGCTCCACTCCCACTTCCTGGTTGAAAAATGTGACAAATGCTGTGTCCTGGTAGACCAAGACGGTGGAGTCGCTAACAAATACACACACACACACACACACACACACACACAGGCTCACAATATTGTGACATCATATGGTACCAGCTAATGTCATAGTGTACTTCTTAACCAATAGCGATGGCAGATTTAAATCCAATGCAGTGCAGAGTTTTTACCTGAAGAGGGTGCAACACTAAAAGTTTTAGACAGAATATATAAATTTTAATCAAGATGTACTAAAGTGCCAAATTATTGATTGCATGTGTCTATCGCGCAATTAGACAATTGTTTCTCAAATTTATAAGCAAAAAATAAGTACATTTGGTGGTGACTTGCTTTCTAATGCTAGCCTGGCCTGCCAGACTCCTCTGTTTAATTCTGCACAGAGAAAGGGTCTGGGAACTCTCCTATTTAAATAACCCCAACCCCTGAGATTTCTAACCGAGCCAATGAGCGCTGAGTAGCAGATGTCACACACCACAACGCCAAGTTTGTCAAGGCGACTGAAGCGGAGTTCGCTGCGGCTCTTTCCTCCTCTAAATGACTTGGACACGTATTTAAAACAACAACAAGTAGAAGCGCTAAAAGCCTTTCTTCTAAAGAAAAATGTTTGCTCTGTCGCCATACGCCATTTTTGACCACAGCTAAAAAAGTCACACACTGCGATGCTCAGTTTCTCATAAACAAGTAGAAGCGCTAAAAGCATTTCTTTAAAAAAAAAAAAAGATGCTTGCGCTGTTACCAGTCGCTATTTTTTTTACTACAGCTAAAAAACTACAGCATTGCACAGTACAGTCGGCATTTCCATCTTTTTTCTGATTGATTATTTTTGAGCTGCCTAGTCCTGCCCCTCAAGTGCCTCTCTGCCTGTACCAGAATCTTTCTCTGTGCAGAATTAAACAGAGGACGAGTCTGGCAGGCCAGGCTACTCTAAAGGTTGGTTGGTACTATGGTGTAGTGTTGGATGCATGCCGTAGAGCTCCATGCTGCCCCCCTACCGTTTGGGAGAATATTGGCTCACCGTAGAGACAAGCCGCATGAACCATAAACGCTGCAAGTTGTGAAGCACGTTCCATCCGCGAGCCGCATCACCAAGCGGAAAGTAAATGCATCAAGCATAAACCAAGCTTTTAGCATCAGAGCCTTAAAATATTTAGGATGCTCTAATTTATAGTTTTGTGTGACAATCTGATGTGTTTGCAGAAACTTAAAAAAATAACATATTTGACAATTGCTCTTTGGTTATATTTGTTTTATACTTTTATATCCATTAGGAAGAAATTATTTTTATTTTTCTGTATTATATAAACAGTCTATGGCAGTGGTCCGCAAATGGCGGCCCGCAGGCCACGTCCGGCCCTACATGTGTGGCCCTTGGACCATTATAATTGAGGACCCCTGGTCTATGGTCTGACATCAAAAGTTACAGAAAGCTCTAGGACCATGCGGAAACCAAACGTTTGTGTTGACGCCTGTTTCCCATTAGAGCATACTGTAAAGACACACCCCCCCGTGCCCCCCCCCCCCCCCCCCCCCCCCACTTTTAAAAGGAAAATTACGTCCATGCACACACACACACACACAATAAGAAATTTAGGACATATGTGTATAAAATATAAGCATTTCGTCCAGAAAAAATGTATTCAACCAAATGGTGAGGAAAAATTTAAATGCAAATTTTCTAATGAAAGCGCTAATTTTTCTTCCTCTATTATTTTGAAGTTCTGACAGGAAGCATGTCTCATCATTTGCCGCTTGACTGTGACGTAATAAAATCTTCATTGCGGAAGTAACAGAGAAACAAAAGTGACTTCGTTGGTGTAAACGTCTGTAGAAACTTTATTTCCCTCCGAACCGGGACGGAACCGAACGGTGAGTTTCTCATGTATCCGAGTTTTTATGAACGTTACTAATTAGACCAGTTTCTGGTTTGGTTAAGTCTGAGCTGAATTGGGCCGAGCCTCCGGGATTCCCCTCGTGTCTGGAGTTCTTTTATCAAACTTCGTCTTTTAGAGAGTTTGTTTGTTTGTTTGTTTGTGGGGAAGCCTGTTGGATGATTTAACTCAAAAGTTAAGCCCAGTTTCCGCTGCAGCGGTTATTTTAGCTACTTCCAGTCCGAACCGAACTCGCATCGTACCTTTTTACCGGAGAAACGAGCAGCTGTAGAAATAAACACCAATCCGAGTTCCCTGGCTCTGCTGTAAGAACTCATGTGTTTAAACCAACAGGCCTGAAGACGGAAATATTAAAGTCAATCAGGCGGAAATAGTTTTATTTTCAGTAAAGATCTTTAAGTAGCTTGTGTTACTGTTTAAAAGTCACATAATCGACTGAATAAAGTTTCATTTTCATCTTTCGGAAATCACCCAATAAAACCCCTGATAGTAAGTCGTGTAAAGTGAAAGTAAAGGTTCTGTTACATGCTCGTACAGCTGAGCAGACGTGACTATTAACATGAATCAAGAGAAAAAACAACTTTACTCAAAGACAATAATCATAAATCAGTCATAACGTTGTTTCCGTCGTTTTTATCCTGTGGATTTTATGACTGGCGGTTTGTTTTGGAGGCGGTAACATTCTTAAATGTTTGTGATCATCTAATAAATGTTCAAAGTAGCTGAGCTGATTTAGTCTCGGGTTGTGTTCTCCTGAGTCTAACCGAAGCCGTGTGCTGATGATGTCTGATCCTCTCTGATTTTGAAGAGTTTGGAGCAGCAAACTCACTTTCTCTTGATTCACTTGATCTGAAGCAGGTTATGATCTGGTGAGCGAGCAGGTCCAATCAGAACCTGCAGCTGTCAGAACAGCCGTTCTGGTCTGACTGACGGCTACAGTTACCTACAGACACCAGTTTACAGACTGAGTTCAAACATCAGGAGCTCAGTCCAGATGTTTGATGGATTCAGCAGGCTAGTCTGCAGCTCACCCATTAGTTAGTTTACTGGTTTAAGGTGGAGACATCAATCACTGATTTGGGATCTGGTCATAGACGGATGGATGATGTTTAACCGCTCAGTTTCTGTCTCTCAGCTCCATCATGGCCAACGACGTTTACTCCTCCACGACTACTCCAAACCCAGAGTCTTCCTGCTTCAAGGTCCCCTCCAAACTCCTGGATAAAACTCGCTTCGTCCTGAAAGTCTGTGAAGTGGTGAGTTCCACCATGGGGAACCTTGTGGCTCCAGTGGTTCTGATGTTCTCTGATCTCTGGCTCTGTTTGTTCTGGAGCCAGAACCAGATCTGTCCTCTGGTGTAGCTCCAGTTGGAGTGGAAATTGTTTTTTTTCTCATGTTTTATATCATCTTCCTGGTTCTGAACTCCCACTAGTTTGGGTCCAACGAACTAATGTTTCATCCGTTAATCAGCATTAAACGAAAGCTGCTGGACAGTCGATCTCAGCGAGTCTTTACTCACACATCCAGGAAAGAGTCAAGATCTAAAACTCACTCATGCTTTAAATGTTTTTTTTTTTTTTGTTTTTTTATACAGTGCAAAAATAACTCTGTGGCCTAAAATGACCCTTTTACCTGCATGAAGGGAAAATGGCAATTGGCAACAATAGATTTGGATCCTAAATTTAAAATTCCCTTAACTTTATTTTTTCTTTACTTTTTTACTAACTTTTATGAATCAGAGAATAAAAAGATTGAACATCTCCAGAAACTCTTTTTATTTTCTTTGCTTTTCGTTTGTTTTTATTAAAACATTGGTTGTTCCACTCTGAGAGGAAACAGAATTTAGAGTCAGACCAAACTAAACCATAAACGAGTCTCCGTGTTTCGTGAGTTTTGTTTGGTCTGACTTCAACATTCAGATGTGACTGGATTAAACCAAACTAGATTCCCGTTGACTCTCTCTCCCTCAGAGGAATCGTGAGGAAACCGGCTCAACATAATTACACACAAACACAAGCTGTTGGCAGCACAAACACACAACCCCAGGGCTCCACCTGATTCGTTCTGCTCCAAACGGAACAGAACCGTGTTTCAGCAAAGACTTGAGTTCTTCTAATGCTAGCGTAATTAGCACTTAGCAGTGGTTAACGTTTTAGTGATGACATCATGTCATTGATCCTTTCACCTGCTAACAGGGTTCTGTAGAGTCTTAGACTGTGACCTTTGACCTTTATCCCACTGAGGCATACCCCCAGCACTTTGTCATTTCTTTGACCTCAGAGGGAACCTGCTGGACTCCTTATGGATAAACTCTGCAGAAGGTTGAACAGCAGAATTAGAAATGACCTTTGACCCTTGACACCTCTACTGTGCTGCAGAGGTTTTTGCTCTTGGCCGGTCTGTTACCTTGTGGCTCTGGATAGAACCCGATCCTTTTGTTGCACCTTTCTGAGTCGGAGGACTCCAAAGCGCCTTACACCACAGTGAATTATTCATCCATTCACACACTGATGGCGATGCGCTACATCTTAGCCACAGCTGCACAAGGCCACACTGACGAAGGTGAGGCTGTCATGCACAGATGCGTGGGTTTGAACCAGCAACTCACCGGTTAAAGGGTGACCTCCTAACCCCTGAGCCACCGTCCCAGCTCAGATCAGCGTGGTGTTTGAGTCTGGGACCTCTGACTAAGTCTTCCTGACCCAGCAGGAAGCTGAAGACAGAACTGAAAGTGTTGCAGAAGGCCGTTAGTCCTCCATCAGCAGATCTCAGAGCTGATGCAACCGGGAGGGACAAGGCCTGCATCCGCCACCCCAGAACTCTGGACTCTAGTGTTGGGTAAAAAGAGGAAGTAAGAGTGTGTGTGTGTGTGTGTGTGTGTGTGTGTGTGTGTGTGTGTGTGTGTGTGTGTGTGTGTGTGTGTGTGTGTGTGTGTGTGTGTGTGTGTGTGTGTGTGTGTGTGTGTGTGTGTGTGTGTGTGGGGGTGGGGGTGGGGGTGGGGGTAGAGTTCTTGAATCAACAGAACCTCTTCATGGACTAATAATTATTCTGAGACATTCATCTGATCCTGGATCAGTCCTACAGCTGCTTCTGGGCTTCTTCTAACTCGTGGAGGACCAGGAACCAGCACTCACCAGAACCAACAGTCTGGTCTTCACCAATCTAACCATCATCTCATGGTCCAGGATGGGTTCTCCTCAGCCCTCTGATGGTTCTCTCTCTGAGATGTTTGAGGTTCTTGCAGGACTTCATAGTTCCAGGTCTCTGGTTTGTGATAGATCCACTGACTAATAAAGTTAATGAAGTTTTTTGTTCATTGGAGCAAATCTTTGTCATCATCAGCACTTTCTGTTGTCCTTTCACAGTAACGGTCTTTCTCGTTCCTCCTGACAGGAAGTGTTACATTCTTAGCTCCATGGCACCTTCAGAGGGTTCCTCCTGTGGTGATCAGGTGTTTCCCACAGTAGTATTGCTGCTGGAGAGGAACCAACCAGAACCAGAACACCTGCTTGCTGTAGGTGTGTGTTTGAGCTGAGGTGGGGATCTCTCAAATCTCCGTTTCAGACCACACACACACACACACACACACACAAAAATAATGGCGTATAACAAAACAGGAAGCTGTGGACTTCAAAACACTTCCTTGTTTTTGTCAAAATAAACATAAAAAGTTTCTTGTCCGTTTTTCTCAAATTAAGCTGATTTTCTCTGAACATCTCAGCGTTAGTTTGAGCCTCCCAGTGGACGGATGTCTCTCTGTCCACACTGTGACCCGTCCTGAACCGTTCCTTCTGTTGGACGTGTTTGGATCTTGGTTCCGCCATGGTAGCAGCAGATCCTGGAAACCCCTACGTGTCTTCAGATGGAGCGGACCACAGCACACAGCTGGTTTACGTCCTGCTGACTGTTTTTACTGTAAATAGGCAGAACACATTAAAAACTGGTGACCTAATTAGTAAACAAAGAGCTGATTGTGAAACAGCTGGTTGAGCGTTGTTGGAGTAAAATCAGCATCAAATACTTTTTATGACTTTCTGGTTTTTCTTTCCTAATGTCTCTGATCAGACTTTATTTAATAAATAAAGTCAAACAAATGTTTTCATGACTGATTCAGGGTTTGGTGTTTCGTCTGAGTCTGAAACCCAGCTCGTCATATGGTGAGAGGAGGTGGAGTTCTGCTGGTTTGCTCATTTATAAATCCCATTTACTGCTGTTGACAACGTAGAGGTCTGTACATGACAGCACAACCACATAAAAACACACCCAAAAAATAAAACGTCAAGAAGTCAGAAAGTAGACAAAGAAATAATAAAATCATGAATAAAATGACAATATCAAGTAATCAAACCACAGTAAACTTGATAAAAGGTAAAGGAATAGCTACGCAGATCAACCAATATTAAAAGATTGGTCAAAGATAAGTTGACGACTTAAAAAGCTCCAGACTATGAGAGATGCTGAGATGTGTGGGAAGCTGCTCCAGAGCCTAGAACCAGCCACCAAAGGAGCTCCATCTCCACAGGTCTTGAGACAAGCCTTTGGGATCTAACAGGGACTGGGAACTGGACCTCATATTCCTGCCAGGAGTGTAGACGACTAGTAGATCATCTATATAATGCAGAGCTAGGCTATGAAGAGATTTCAAATAGATTTTTATGAACCATTTCGATTTGATCCATCGAGGTAGTTTTCAAGTGGACACGTTCTACAAAACTCACCTTTTGCAGCCTTTTGTGCTGTCATGTGGGTCTCCACTGCCTCTTAGAAATTTCCAGACGTGAATAAAAATGCCTTTTCTGTCAGTGTTTGGTTTCAGGAATGAAATTCATAAAATGAGTCATTTAAAAAAATTCCCTTATTGTGACATCACAACCAGGGGCATTATAGCACAGGAGGAGCAGCAGCTCTACTCTCCCGGATATCCAAGCACCTCACCACATAGGCAATCGGGGGTGGGTGGGCGTGGCCAGCTCCAGCTTGTTTTCTTAAAGTGACAGAGTCCTGTGTAGGCTTATTCTGGAAGGTACTGAAAGTGTCAAGAATAAAACTGCTGAAATCCCTTTATGTGAGAGGGATTATGTGCCAAGAGCCTCATAAACTTGTTTTTAATAGACCACATAATCTGCCTCCTGTAAAAGCCGATTCATTTTTCTGTTTGGCTTTATTATGAATGAAGGTATTTATGGAGCAGAGTTACCAGGACCTCTACGAGAGACGTGAATGACTTGGCACATGTCATCAGATCTTTCCTCAGAATCAGTTCAACTGAATGCAACAATCAGTTGTGGTGGCCATCTTGAATGAACCCTTCCTAAAGTGTTCATTGTCTTGGTTTTGTTTCAGCTTCTCTCCTTGGTGGCCTTCATTCTGGAGGAGCTGGTCGGCAGCTGCTCCAGCTGCAACCCTCTCTACTTCTTTGAGTTTGTGAGCTGCACGGCCTTCCTCTTCACCCTCCTCCTCCTCATTCTCCTCGCCACCCATTTGCATGAAAAGGTCAACATCAGCTGCTGGCCCAAAGTGGTAAGAGCCCACCTCAGACCTCCCGGTTCTGATCCATGTTTCAGAACACACGCCGAGAACGGATCTGCTGAACATTTAGATTGATCGTGACTTTAAATCACAACCATCTGATGATTTGAGCTATCAAACATCCATAAACCTTCTCAACCATTAGAGGACCAGCCCTTTCAGCTCAGATGGGATCAAAGGTTCTGGCTTATCAAGGTCACCCGTTAAGAATTAGTGAAGCACTGATGATGCACATGTGATCAGCAGTTGCTGGCTGATTCAGAACCTCAACAACACTCAGTATTTGTAAGATAATTACTAGTGGCTTCTTCTGCAGGACTTCTTTTACACGGCCATCATCACCGCCCTGTTCTTCATCTCCTCCATCACCTTCGCGGTGGACAACGGCAGATCTGAACTGGAGACTGTGGCTGTGGTAAGTGAACTTCTGGATCTAGTCCCACTCTCCTTCCCATCCCTCCTTGGGAATTCACCTGTCCTTTCCTCCACAGGTGTTTGGTTTCTTTTCGGCTGTGGTGTTTGTCGTGGACGTGGTCGTCTTCTTGAGGACAACAGGGTCCCCGCTCAGGGACAGTCAAGCTACAGAGTCTAACGGCACCCCGGTCACAGCAGAGGCAGAGAAACTGAACAACGGGGGTCACTAAGGGTCCTAAAGACCACACTTGTGTGAGTCTGCTTCATCTAAAGGTCACAGATTATCTACTCTCACCTGGCAGCAGGTGGGTGGAGCTTCAGCTGCAATCAGCTGATCACTATGGTTGTATTCTTTTCAGTCCTGTTTTTAGTTGTTTTTCTGTCTGAGGGCGTTCTGTGCTCTGGAACTCCTCCTGATCGGTTTGGGGTTTAACCCTGACCCTAATCGGTACCAGAACAGAGAACCCGTCAGAACCCTGTGTTTTGGTTTAAAGTTTCATGTAAAACTTTTGGAACAGGCTCCAAGTTTCACTGTTTCAGACACTAAAACTGCTGAACCACTAAAGGTTCTGCAGGACCTTCAGAACCTGGCAGGATATCCATAAACCACCTGCTAGAGATGGTCTGTCTAAGCCTTACAGAATGGCATCAGAGCCTTCAGAACATTCCACAGCAGCAGAAACCCGATGGTTCTGATTCTTTAAAGTGAACTGGTTGGTGGTGTCCAGCAGGGGGAGCGTTTGCACCAACTTCCTAAATCCTTTCATTCTCCAGTGGGTTTAACGGGTTTATTTACCCCTTTTTTATTATTTTTTTTAATCAGAATTTTGTTCTGGCTCTGTTGCTGATGACAACATTAGTGAATGTAGAACTGGATCAGAACCTGAACACATTGATTGCTGAGAGGACTCCCAACCCGAGCAGCTTTTTAAAGTAGAATTTTGAGCCGGTCTGGGACACGTCCATCCTCACTCAGGAGCAAGCATTCCCAGATCCTGACGTCAAAACAGAGTTTAGAGTCAGAGGTCAGCAGCTGAATCAAAGGTTTTAATGATCCGTGTTAAGAAATGAAGTGTAGGATTGGAATTAGTTGTTTTGTTTTATAATTTTTATCAAATATAAAAGGTTTCTGACCACCCTGAAAAACAAACATCAATCATCTTTAAATCAAAATTATTTCATCTCACTTTTTAAGCGACAATCAGTTTTTATATTAAAATATTTGTATTTTGGGCCAAATAGGTTTTTCATAGTAAAAGCATGTATTTTTTTATGAATTCTGTGTTTGTCGATAATGTAACTGAATGAAGGCGCCGCTATCTTTGTTACATTTGGTTTATCTTCCTGTCATTTTAATAAAAACATTTTGGATAAAAGGATCAGCTGTTGAGTCTTTGTTGGGTATACTGGGTCATAAGTTTCAGAAGATTTTCACAAAACATCAGACCTTCAGACTAGTTCTGGTTTTGGTACCAAAGAACTACCTCACAATGGATCCGGTTGTGTTGATGATGAACCGGGTCCGACGAGTTCTGGCCCTGTGGTTCACTGATGGAGACCATCGATGGAGACGTCAGCCTAGGACTTGGCCCGGTTCCGATTACTGTAACAAAGTTTTATGTTCAGTTAGAAGATGATAAAAAGCAGATGTCTGTTCACAGCTGCCTCAGTGAACATCTGGAGGACTGTCCCAGTTCTGAATCTGGGAAGGTTCCTGAACACTTCCTGTTCTGTTTTTATTTCTGAGTCCAAACCTGGTTCTGATGTTTCAGTAAAACTTGATTAAATGTGAGGCCAGAACCTGTAGGACCTGTTAGAAACATTATGTACATAACTGCTGAAGTTGAGGAACGAGGTACGATGACGGTACAAGGACATCACATCCTTGTGTTGCCTGGCTGAAGACACATTTAATCACGCCTGTAAAAGCAAATGGGCGTGATGCTGGGTGGTGGCCCCGTCCTCCACCTACAAGCCCCCAGCATCACCGGAATGTCTCGGTTCGATAGCCGCTCTTCAAGCTAGGCTGCGAAGGGGGCAGCCCTGCGTACCTCGTTCCTCTCCTTCAGGGAACAGTGGTTACTTCCATAACCTAGCGTTCCCTTTCAATCGATTCACTTGGTCCAACAAAGGTACTATGGGACCAGCGCTGGACTGACCATAGGGCATAGCGGGCAACTGCCCGCTGGGCCGACCCTTTCATCCTTTATGGGCCGGTGTCTGTTTTTTTTTTTTTTTTTTTTTCTCCTGGCCTCTAGTTGTTGCGGACAACTTGTCCGCGCCGCCCCACGCGACGCCTCGTAAAAGTTGGTGGATTGGCCAATTGGTCATAATACACTCTGGGCTGGACCAATAGCCAGAGGTCTGATGCACCCGCCAGTTGTTTGTGAATCTCAGTAAACAGACAGACGAGCTTTACAAAATGGAGAACAAAAAACGGAAAGGAGGAGCGGAGAAAATTCGACTAAAAAAGAAACTGGCCCTTCAGGCTGATGCTGGCACATGTGTTAAAATCTCACAGTTGTTTGGTAGTGAAGGTTCAAGTAAAATCAATTTAGGAAGTGATGGAGCCTCAGCCCAGCGACAGGTTGGAGAAGAAAAGAGGGAGGAGGAGGAGAAACCCGAGCCGGTGTTGTGCCATAAATTGACTCGCTGCCAAAAAATGATTAGCCACCGCGGGATCGCGCACGGTTAGGTAATTGCATATCTAGACAAAATTCCCCAGGATTTCGCCCTAAAACTCAGCATATCTAGCAATATGGACATTCAGAAAGCAAAGATAACCTCTTCCGGTACTTAAATAGATGTTTATCGCGGATATTAGTGTGGCAGTGTTTGTGGCACCCTGCGCGGGAGCACGAGGACGTGCTTGTGGAAAGAGGGAGGAAGATGTGGCTGTGTGAGCATCCACAATGTCCCGATTGATCATGCGCCCTGGCTACTTGGCCAAGGAGATGATCCTTTGGCTGACTGGTAAGAGCGTATGACTCTCACCCGGGAGTCTGGGGATTGAATCCCGCCCGGGCACTTGTTTCTCCACCTTGCCACATTAGTTTTTCCAGTTCGGAAGTTGTTTTAAGTGTTGCTATTTGTCTTAAACGTTCACAATGAGGATATATTAATCCTTTTTGCAATATTTGCGATTGAAAGATGGTTTGTGCCACAAACTTTGTGGTAAGAACTGGCTTTCTTTATGTTACAGCCTTGATTTTAAAAAAATAAATAAATAATGTAAAATGGCACCCTGTATTGAATGTAAACGTTGTATAAATGGAATTAAACAATTCTCCAGCGATTTAATTTTTTCCCCTTCCTTTCTTTAGTCCACTTGACATGGAGCCACAGTTAACTAGTTTGGGGCACATTTTACTTGAAAAAAAGTATTTAAAATGATCAAGCTTTGGCTTTAATGACACTGTGTAAGTTGCTATACATTACGTTGCTCTATTTAAAAGTAACAAGATAAAAGCAGCGCTTCAGCACATACAATTAAGATTGTCACTTGCCAAATAGACTACACCCTCCCGTTTACCTATAAGAAATGCCTCAAAATATCTTTAAATTCTTTATTGATGATTTAATTGTAGACAACTAAAATGGCATTTTACTTGCCAAAAAGTGATTGAATTGCTAAGATTTTCATGGAGGCTAAAATTGACCAAATAAGGGTTTTATGTATTATCTGTTGATGTTACTGTACTCATACTGTCTACTGTATCATCATAAACACCCCAAAAATGGCAACAAAAAAAAAGAAGATAATTTCCATTGCTAAAAATTGATTACAGTGTCCTGGTCACCTGTAAAGGGTTACATTTACCTAAATATTACTTTATTTATTATCTCTTGATGTTATTAGTGCCATCACAGGATGCTGGGTGTCTTTCACATTCATAAACACCTCAAAAATGGCAACAAATGATCATTTCCCTTGCCATAAATTGTTTACAGTGTCCTGGTCACGTGTAAAGGGTTAAATTGACCTAAATATTACCTTATTTATTATGATGCTGGGTGTGATCCACAATCATATTCGAATAAACATGAAAATATTCCGTCCGAATATCTGTTTCTTGTTATAAATATAACAGCTAGAAGGATTTACAGTTAAAATAGGAGAAACACGTGACTCCCCAGGAAGGGTCGTAACACCACTTGCCTCATGCACATAAGTGAACAAAACAAAGCAGCATGGAGACACTCCGTCTCCAACCACCTCTCAGGCAGCAGCCTGCACTCTCAAGTTCTACACGTCACCAGAACATAAACAACCGCAACACAATAAAAGCAGTGTTATACAAAATGGAAGGCCTGTAGTGTTTATTCTCTTACAGTAACAACTTATCAACTTTTTGGAGGAATTTATTTGAGAATTTTTTGGTTTTTAGTAATTGTGCAATAGAAAAGTAATCGCTAGATTAATCATCTAAATAATCATTAGAATAGTCGACTATTCGATAAAATAATCATCAGAATAATCGTTTTAAAAATAATCAGTTACCCCCAACCTTACTTTTTAGAATACCAGGATAGGAAGGATGGTGTAGGTTTACGTTTATTAGATTGATACATAAATACTACCAATAAGAAAGTGTACGTTGGTGTGTGTCAGAAACAGCGTAAGGCTTAATGTCTTTTCCAAAAAAAACAGGTGATGGGCCGGTCTCCAGTCAAAATGCCCGGGCTGAATTTTTGTCCCAGTCCAGCCCTGTATGGGACATATGAAAACACCCCATGAGCAGCTATCAAACCTGGGCCGACAACGCCATTTAAGATGGCAACTCAAACCAGCAGACAGAACTTCATGAGCCACCCAAGGGGCCATGAAATCTAGTTTAGGCAGAACTCCATTGGGTCGGGGACCACATGTCCCACACCACCATAATCCCTGCACCCGAGAACTCCCTACCAGAGCACAATCGTCCAAGTAGGCAAGAATGCAAATCTCTCTCTGAGTGGTGCTGAGGCAGCTTTGGAAAAGGTGCAGGGAGCTAGGGCAAATCTAAGTGGGAGAACCAGGTACTCGTAGGCTTGCCCTTGAGCCTGTGATCAACCCCCCACATTCAATTCTTGTCAGAGCCGTGCAAAGCCACAGGAGCCGACTCGGAGAGCGTGGGGTCCTGCTGCAAACCCGCAGCGTCTCCCAGGCCACTTTGGAGGAAGTTCACATGCCAATCGAGCGGAGCTGACGACAGAACTCGCACACCTCTGGGTCAGAGTGCTCTGTTGGCATGAAGAATCCAGCGGCAGACACGACAGGCTTGGTACAGGTGCTTCTTGTGACAGGGTGAGTGTCGCTGTATCCCGATTGATCATCTGCCCTGGCTACTTGGCCATGGGGATGTCCTTTTGGCTGACTGGTTAGCACTTGTGACTCTCACCTGGGAGTCTTGGGATAGAATCCCGCCTGGGCCCTTGTTTCTCCACCTTGCCACATTCTCATGGAGAGAAAACCCACAGCCCCGAGGGCAGGGAGCAGATTTTTGCCAAGTGGAGTCCAACACAGACTCAACACAGGCAGAAACCAAAGAGCACAGAGGCGGAAAACTAAAAGAGCCACAAAAAGGTAGCGCTCGGTGGGCGAACACTGACCGGAAAGCAGCAGAATGAACACCAGCGAGCAGTTAAGCTAACTTTTCAATAGCATAGCTAACAATAGTTTTCTGTACTTAAATGTTATCGGCGAGGTGAAAGCGTAAGAACTGAGAGATGCCATCACCCAGCGTCACGCGCTTTTGCCTTTACAGGCGTGATTAAATGCGCCTTCATCCAGGCCACACGAGGGTGGGATGTCCTGGTACCTTCTTTGTACCGAGCTGTGATGGCTGCAGCCACAGCCACACAGTTTAGGTAATGGAATGTGTATTGTTTCCCTTATTTATGTGGTTTAATTAAAAGTAGACACTTTGTCTTTGTCAGTTTGGAATGGATATCATTACATGGCTGTTTTTTAAAATAAGTGTGCACATTTTGGTTCACATGTTAAGTGATGATGTAAAAGTGTGCTTTTGTGTTCTGAGTTGCCTTGGTGGCACCGGATCAGCTAAAAGGTGGAGAAGGGGTGGAGCAAGCTTATGAAGAGATCTGCAAATTGACTCATACCACCACTCTGGATCATGGGGGGAAATGGATCTGCTTTGTTAGTTTCAGTTTTACCCCCTTTTTGTGTTTTAGTGGGCTGATCATCCATTACTGAAGTTCCTCCTTTGTCTCAATTAAGCAGGTCTGTTTGTCTGAATTAAGTGTTAAACTCTTAATTGGAGGTTTGTTTGTTACTTTGTCCTTTTAAGGGCCCAACAATCAGTTTTTTATATGTAAAATGTACCCACCCTTTTGAGAGTTATACAAAAGAATACAACCTGTGCCAGACTGTCCTTAACCGCTCGGCCCATCTATCCCAACTTGAGCAGGGTTAGGAACACCTGGACCTATAGGAACATCAGCCTTCTGGTCTCTGTGCTACTTTAAAAAAATATATATTTTATTACCAACTTTCAAACAAAAGCATCCAAACAATTGTTCCATTTGTTGCTGTCTGCATTAAATCTTTGTCTAAAACATTCAGAGAATCAATTAATCATCCTAAAATGAACTACTTTCAATGGACTTTAATGGGGCTGCTGGCTCTCTGTGCACATCTTCAACATTCCACGGAGCCAACCTGGAGCTGCAGCTTCATGCTCACAAGTAGAGGGGATGTCTGAGAACAGGTTTATGAAATCCCACCCTGATTTCCTTATTAAAAACAGGTAAGATGTGTATGCTGCTGATTTCATACACTGCACCTGGCTAACAGAAGGGATCGGAACGCCACACATGAAAGATAACACCTGATCCTGGCATGTTGGCCAAAGTCTGAAGAGTCTATTATGAAGTGCTACTTGAACTTGGGAGGTGTGTGGAAAACCATACGGGCTGGGAGCCACCCAGTTTGAACATCAGCAGCTCTAAACTGAATATGGGATTTTAGTAGAGTAGATCTGAAACAGAGTCGGTACACCAGACTTCCTCCGAGCAGAAGTTCTGCGAGCGCTGGACTCACCCAGAGCAGAACCGGTCCACTGGAGCTTAACTAATAGTTCAGGGTTAGTGACACTGGTCGTGTGTTGACTGATTTGCACAATAAACTTGAAAAAGAATCAACAGACACCAGATCGGAGTGCCACAGACACCCATGCCTCAAGATGTTCTGATAAGCCATGGGTCGATGGGTCGTGTTCTGGGCTCTAGTCTCGGTCCACACACTCATGCATTCATTACAGCGTTCTGTTTCAGAGGCTCTCTCGAGTCCATGTGGGGGTTCTGCTGACTGTGACTCGCTGCTTTCTCACGTGGGGCTGCCTGAAGGGTCAGAGGTCCTTCTGGACTTCACACACAGAGATTTTCCCAGAATTCCACTGTCGTCTGAACTGTCAGGGATCGGTCGGCTGACCGGAGACTCCTTCGTTATGATGTCTGAAGCTTCCTGTGTAGTGGGTTGTTAAACCTTCCAGGTCTTTTGTTGCTACAGAGTAACAAAACAGTGACATCTTCAATTAGTGAAAAGCCTGGAGAAGGTAAACAGATGTTTAACTTCCAGAGCTGCTGCAGCTGGGCGTCTCCTCCACCTCTGTAGCAGCAGTGGGAGGAGCCAGCAGTTGGAGGTGTTTCCTGCAGAAGAGGGTCTGCACCTCCCTACATGGCTGTGGGACTTGGGTGTTCGGTGTGCGGAGGGTGTGGACGCAGAGCGGCTGATCCGTAAGTGACTGACTTCATTTGTCTCTGCAGCCTGATGAAAGCTGATCCTGATGCAGCTGTCAGGTTTGGGTCTGATGCCTGTTCTTCCTCATGCTCCTCATCTTCAGTAGAATCAGTCAGAATTAAGCTGTTTGCCTTTGCTCCTTTATGCATTTATATATGTTATCCTTCATGTGCATGGAGCTTTTCATGACTTAATGAGTCTTCATTTATTTTTTTGCCCTAATAAGGTAAAAAATGATTGAAGCGCCCTGATGGTGGTGGAACGTTACTGAGCTCTGCAGAGATTCAGATTCAGGTGTTTATTCCTACGGAATTAAAATGGGTGAAAACCCAAAACCAACTGAAAACAGGGATTAGATTATTTTATTCCTTCTGTAAAATAAATGAAAATAGATGGTTTAACAGATTTAGTTCATGTTTATCATTCTAATGAAAGTGAAAGGCTGATCCAGGATCTGCTGATTCGGGTTGTGTTTTCAGTTCCGTTAGTTAGTTTAAAAGAAAAAGAGATGAGATTAGATTAGATTAGATTAGATTAGATTAGATTAGATTAGATTAGATTAGATTAGATTAGTCACCTTTCCTCTTAGTTGACAGATTATTTGCTGCTGGCCTCCAGACCCTGAGCCTGAGATCAGTGGTCTCCTTTGAAAAGCAGCTGAGAAGTCATTTGTTCAGGAAGCTTTTCTGTTTATTTGTTTATTTATTGAGCTTATGATTTTTACAGTAAAAGATGCAACACAACAAATTTTATCCTTTTTTTTTGTGTAGAATACAAAAGCCGCTTCCTGTCTGATTCTTTACCAACTTTTATCGGTTTGGAAACATTTCGTTCTTTTGTCATATTTCATGGTTTCAGCTGCTGTAGGAGCCTGAGCCCCCCCCCCCCCCCCCCCCCATCTCTCATCCATTCATCTGTTTCTCATTCTGCTTAAACACTCTTCACTTTTACTGATGGCCTGAAACAGACTCAGTTTCTTTGTATAAACTTTGTTATTTAAGTAGGTGTTGACACCGCTTCATCTCTGCTGCTTCATGTGTGTGTGTGTGTGTGTGTGTGTGTGTGTGTGTGTGTGTGTGTGTGTGTGTGTGTGTGTGTGTGTGTGTGTGTGTGTGTGTGTGAGAGAGAGAGAGAGAGAGAGAGAGAGAGAGAGAGAGAGAGAGAGAGAGAGAGAGAGAGAGAGAGAGAGATCTCAGAGCAGCGGACACATCTCTGGAGAGAGAGGGAGGGAGAGAGAGAGAGAGAGAGAGAGAGAGAGAGAGAGAGAGAGAGAGAGAGAGAGAGGGAGAGAGAGAGGGAGAGAGAGAAAGAGAGATCTCAGAGCAGCGGACACATCTCTGGAGAGAGAGAGGGAGGGAGAGAGAGAGAGAGAGAGAGAGATCTCAGAGCAGCGGACACATCTCTGGAGAGAGAGGGAGGGAGGGAGGGAGAGAGAGAGAGAGAGAGAGAGAGAGAGAGAGAGAGAGAGAGAGAGAGAGAGAGAGAGAGAGAGATCTCAGAGCAGCGGACACATCTCTGGAGAGAGAGGGAGGGAGGGAGAGAGAGAGAGAGAGAAGAGAGAGAGAGAGAGAGAGCAGGAGACCTTGTTTAGTCATGTTTACATTTCTAAATGTTCTGTCATTAAGGAGAGGGTCGGTGGAGCCAGGAGCTAATTAACCAGTCCGATTAGGACCATGGTGGTTCTGAGTCAGGGTTACCGGTTACACCAGCAGGATCTGCGCTGTGTTTACACTTTCTCTCCTATTAGCTGGCTGCTTTAAAGATGAATGTTTGGGGGCGTACCTAAACTTGATGAAATCATTTTCACTCTTCTGTTTGAACCTTTAGATGAAATGAGACACGAGACATGGCATCTGCTGCCGGTCTAACTGGTTCCTTGTCTATGCTTCCTGGAGCTTTATTAAGATGATTTTCCTTGCACATAAACATGAAACATCAGGCTGTACGCATTTAGTGCAGGTCAGGTTCTCCATCTGATTCTGAGTTCTATCAGAGGAGCATCTACATCTCAATCCAGCCACACACACACACACACACACACACACGCGCATGCACGCACACACACACACACACACACAGAGATGTCCTCTGGTTCTGAACAGCTGTTCCAGCAGTTTCAGTCTAAACAGCTGTTGCGTCTCCTGGACGCTTGTCTCTGATATCTGATGGAGGTTTTCCTGTTTATCTGCTCTCATGAAGACAGTTTGTCTCACAGCAGGAAGTCCCCTCGTCTTCTGTGTACGTTCTCCTTTCTAGGATCCTGCTGATGGATTACACTATCCCTGAACCTGAAACATTCACTTCCAAACATGGAATTTAGAGCTGGGGGAAAGTGGCTCAGACTTCAGAAGACCTTTAGATAGTGACGATGCTGGTTCCGGAGATCCAGATGTTTTAGTCTCATGGCTTTAGGTGTCAAACACATCAGGCATGGAGATGATCTGAACTTTAGACATGTAGAACAACAAACATGAACATCGTGATTCTCTCCAGCATGACCATGTGATAAACCAGGGTGTTCCAGACAGCTTCACAGTAAAGCTGAGGTTTTTTTTTTTCTAAAGTTTAAATATTAGAGTCAAGTTTTTGTGTTTCAGGTCCACTTTTCTGTTGATCTGCTGAAGTGCTCTGGAGCCAAACCCTCGCCGGATGCAGGTAATATCCCACTCCCCCTCCCTTTGTCAATATTTGACAAATTATGAATTAAATCAAAAGTTCAGGTCATTATTCAACCCCTAAAAGAAGATTTTGATGGTTTTTATGTGTCTTGTAATTTTACTATGCTATGTGAATGTGTGTGTGTGTGTGTGTGTGTGTGTGTGTGTGTGTGTGTGTGTGTGTGTGTGTGTGTGTGTGTGTGTGTGTGTGTGTGTGTGTGTGTGTGTGGTGTGTGTGTGCATGGGTGAATGACTGGTTTTGTTGTAAAGCACCTTGGGACTCTAGAATGCACCATATCAAATGCAGGCCATTTACAACTTTTACTGAACCAAGAGTAAAAACAACATTAAAGCTCAGTTATTTTACTGAATTTAGTTTATTTATACAGCGCCAAATCACAAGAGTCGTCTCAAGGCACAAAGTAAACATCCAATTGAGTTCAGATCATTATGCCAATTAGTTACGTTTCCTAGGACCCAGTAGATTGCATCACATCACTGACTTGTGACTTTACAGCAGTGGTTCAACCAGGCGTCCCCACAATTTTGTCTGTGCTGAGATTGCAGGGTTACAAGGAATCACACGAGTTATAACTCTGTATGGCTGTATAAAGTTTGTAACTGATCACTTTAAATGTGTGTATGGGGGGTAAGAGTTGGGGTTTGGGGCACCTGGATCGTCTTGGACACTAGCATGGGGGTCCCCCGTGACAAAAGGTTGGACAGTTGGACAGTGGAGAGGAAAACTCTTCAACAGGAAGGAACTTCCAACAGAACCTGGCTCCGTGTGAGCAGCCATCCACTGCTGCTCACTGGGGTTTGAAAAGACAAGCAGACACACACACACACACACACTTTTTAAATGAGTCGATCCTGATGGGTGTTGCTTATCATAGTTATCTGTTTGAATTTTTGCTGCATGTAGTCAAATCATTTTGTTTATCATATGAAACCATCTGTTTTTATTAAGGAGGGAATCATTAAAGGCAGTGAGTGAAGATCTGGCGTAAGCCTTAACCTGATCTTGTTACGAAGCGGTTAATCCTCGGTGAAGGTCCAGCTGTCAGGCTCAAGGTTCTGATCAAGAGCTGACAGATGTGTGGTTCTTCTGCTCTCTCGTTAGTTTACTGGATCATTAAACCTTAAAGGAAGACCTGAGACGAGTCTGAAACCTCAGCTCTCGCAGGCTGTCCTCCTGCTGGGTTAATTATGGTTGGTCCATTCTTCATCAGAGACTAGACTACACGCCTCCTCTCATTACATAGCTGCTGGATCCAGAACTCTGAAATGCCTAAACAAAGAAAACACTTTCAGCTCAGTCACTTCTGGTCACATGACCAGACCACATGACCACCAGAGAAGGTTCTCAGATAATATTCATGAACAGAAAATTCCAGGTTGAGTGTTTGTAATGGTTTATAGATGATGAGTTGGTCCGACTCCTATCTCTCCATTATAAAACCATTATTTTCCCCACAGTGAGTTCTGGTTGGACCGGTCCGATCCAGGGTCCACTTCAAGGTCCGCTGCAGTCCTTTCTGTAAACAAAAAAAGTGATCTCACCGCTTGCCATCTCCCTGAGGTAGAAGTCTGATGAGCGGCCCAGACTGAATCAGATCTGGATCTGGTTTGGGACCTCATAGGAACATGTTCAGATCTGGGTCACACTGGAGCAGAGCGGTTGGATTTGGGCCCGTTCACCCTGCAGTCTGAGACGTCTACTGACTGATGGGTGTTTGTGTTCCAGCTGTTTAGCTTTATGATGACATCATGCTTTCAGCCAGAAAGGTGGATCAGAAACATCTGCTCTTCATCACGTTTACATTTAGCTTAAAGCCTTGAACCACAACATGTGGATGGACTTTTTCGGGATTGCTGGCCCACACAGCACTCGCATATGTCAAGTTCTAAAGCAGAGAGCTGCTTCTTCTCAGCGCCAGTCCAAACATTCCCGTCTGTAAACATTCTGTACAATCGAAGTTTAGATTAGCAACATCTGTCTTAGAAACATTTACAATCAGCAAACATTTACAATCAGCACGACTCGGGGAGCCGGGTCCTGGTTGCCAGGGTCCACATCAGGGTCCAGGACACAAAGGTCCACATAGTAATAATAATTTGTACTTTATGATCCTTTGGAGATACTGTTCTCTGCCTCTGACCCATTATTATCATCCATCAGGAAGGTGGGCTGCAATTTGTATCAAGCCTGGGTTCAGTATTTTGCCTGAGGATGCTTCAGCACATGGCTTCAGGGCCTGGGGATCTATCCTCTCACCTTTAGATCAGAGGACAACCGCTGCTCCCGTCCAGCCACCGCCCGCCTTTCGGGGTCCAGGAGTCAGCTTTTACTCTGAAATCTGTGTTTGTGCTTCAGGACCAGAGCTGATCAGAGATCAGAGGTTCTGTTTAGTGTTTGGTCTTCTCCCCAGTTTTGCTTCCAATTGTGTTTTAATGTGGGCTGCATGGTGGCGCAGTGGTTAGCACTGTTGCCTCGCAGCACGAAGATTGCAGGCTCGAAGCTCGGCTGCGGCCTTCCTGCGTGGAGTTGTGTGTGCTCCCCATGCATGAGTGGGTTTCCTCCAGGTACTCCGGTTTCCCCCACAGATCACAACTTGCCCTATAGGTTATAAATTGTAAGTCGCTTTGGATAAAAGCGTCTGCTAAATAAATAAACATAAACATGTACCCCCCCCCCCCCCCCCCACACACACACACACACACACACACACCCCATCCTACCCAGCAGGTGTGAAGTGACAGACTCATACAGCATTCCTCTCAGCTCCTTACTGGGAACATTGGTTTTTGGAGTTCCTGCTGTGTTTAGAGGGTTCTAATGGAGATCTGGCCTCACCACAAACAACAAGAACAAGATGAAGCCTCAACGGTCTTTGATCCCAGGACCCGTCTCCTCCTGCAGATTAAATTTAACGAATGAAACATGTAAACATCATTAAACTGTGAGAATGCCGTCTGAACTCAGACACTCTGAAGGCTTTCAGATGGAGGCGTTACTCTGGACCCACACATACTCGTCTGGATGTGGGATAATGGAGGACAGGCCCTCTGTAAACGAGGTTCTGTTGTGGTGTGAGTCATCTCAGACTACAGCTTGGTAATCCAGGTTCTGATCTCTAATCAGCCGGACATCACCTGAACAAAACTCTCGCTGTTCAACATGTGCAGCAAAGATGTGGATGTGTCTGATCCGAGGTCAGTCCTGGAGCTGGAGCCGGGCTCCCGGGGGGGGGGGGGGGGGGGGGGGGGGGCTCTCTGTGGGTCTGGAGACCTCCGAGCAGAAGAGAGCAGCTGTGAGTGTTTTCTTCTCATCAGAACCACAAAGGCACAAAAAGGAAACTTCTCTTGGTTCTGAGGAGGTTCTGGTATTAAATTAGTTTGCTGCTGTGAGAGCCGACAGAAACCAGTAAAACCCGTTTACTGGTTCTGGTTCTGATTTAAGTTCAGGGAACACTGATCGAACCTCTAACAGACTGGTCCTGTTGGAGTTTTTCAGCTGGAATTCTCTTTACTTTTAGACCCATTTAGAGCCTGGTATCCTCTCCTAAACAGGGTCCGGTCTCACACAACAGAACCTGCTGCGGGTCCTGGTGGTTTCATTCTGGAATTGTGTCCAGAAGCCTTGGCTCTGACCCGGTTACTTAACCCGGTCTTGCCTGACTCGGCAGCACTGAGCTGATTCATCTGAGAAAATAAAAACAGCAATTAAATATTTTAGCGCTAGATCAGACCAGGGTCCAGGACAAGTTCAGCCGGATTTGTTGGTTTGGTCCATTCTGGCCCATTTAACTTGGGTCCATCTGGACTGTAATGTCTTCACTGAGAAGAAATCCTTCAGATTCTCTGACCCGGTCCGCTTGAGCGGGCCTCTTTTCAGTTTGGGGCCAACGCTCTAAACAGAACGCTCCTCATTCGTCAACATCAAACATTGCATTCGTGGAGCCGAACCAGAACTGAAATCCAGTCAGAGATGCCTGTAAACAGAGCTGATGCTTAAACAATGTAGAGGTCCTCAGTGCTGTGATTAGATTCACATGATCCCCATCATGCCCCACACAGGGCCCATGATTAAACACAGACTTGGAACACACACATTCACACACACACACACACACACACACACACACACACACACACACACACACACACACATTCTTGTATTTGTACCCAAGTTAAGACATTGTTAAAACAGCTCATAAATATCAGCTTTATCGAAACATTTCAGGAAATGCTGTAGAAACCCAGCATGGTGGTGGTGGTGGTGGTTGGGGGGGGGTTACGAGGGAGATCAGAGGGAGGGCGGTTTCTCTCCAACACTGCTTTAGCATGCAGAAATTTAGTTCTGCTCCGGTTCCACTCCGAACTCCAAATGGACCGTTGCAGCTTCTTGGTTCTGTTGCAGATGTGCTGCTGTGTTTGGATCGCAGTTCTGCTTCATGACCCGGTTTGGTCCACGGTCTCACTCTTTCGTATCTAGGAGTTCCTGGTGGTAGCTGCAGAACCAGCCCAAACCATCAGCCCTCCTTCACCGTGCCGACAGCTGATTGCGCTGCAGTGCATTTTGGGTAAACACCTCTGCTCTGGTCTAGTCTGTCCCAGTCAATCCGAAAGAATCAGGAGACAGTTTAATTCCAATTCTGTTTCCTGTTTGTAGGAAGCGGTGATGTTTGGTGTATGTGTGGTTGTGGAGCTCCAGAGGAACCAATCGGTTTTAAGATCTGGAGATGTTTAGTGTTTGCCGTGAGAGTGGAGAGCTGCTCCAAACCAGCAGGAAGCTTCTCTGAGAACCGATCCATCAACTAACATTAAAAGTGTTCCCATTCATCCTAGATGTGATGTGGCCAGACAGAGTCTGGTGCCTGCAGATGGCAGGAAATAGCTGGTTAGGCATAAGCGGCTCCACATGGTTCTGAATGGGTCCGAAGTGACTTTTTTGCTGCAGGCTCCTCTCAAAGTTCACATGGAGAATCAATCAGCACTTTGAATGATAAATGTTTGCTCCTCTTCACAGATGAGTCAGGGTCATAGCACAGGACTGTGTGTGTGTGTGGGTGGTGGTGGTGGGGGGGGGGGTGGTCAGAGGTCAGTAGGTAGTGGGATCTGAGCCCGTCTCACAGTCAGCTCCTCAGGTTATTCCATATAGTTGCTGTTATTTAAAGATGATAAAAGTCGTTGGGTTTAATCAAGTCAAAAGTACAAAAAGGTCCATTTAAGCCCACCCTCACCCTGACTCTGCTCACCTCCAGATCCACATCAATACACGCTTATTTCTGGAAGAAAATAAAAAAAAAACCGCAGAAAACTAAAAGTAAGTGAGAATTCTGGTTCTACGGAGATCCTCCACCAGAGACCTCCCCCTCAGGTTATGATGTTATTTACAGTCTTTGCTCTAATCCAGATGTTTGTCATTTAATCTGATTTATGTTGTCTGTCCCTGTTGTGATCGTTTGTCACTCAGTGTGATTAGTTCAGCATCGAGTGCACGGACTCTTAATTTAGATAATTATTGATTTATTGTGGGAAACGCCCTGCTAAACCGGAGCAGAGCTGGAAAATGTGTTGAAGGAAATGGGAAACTGGAAAGTAAATGACTGGGAAGGGCGGGGTTAAAACTGGGACATTCGTCTCTGACACTTTCTGGAAGTTGTTTTTTCCAGTCTTGTTTTCAAATATAATGAAACTTTTCAAAGTAACCAGTCAGTTTGTGAAATCCCTGAAAGATGAGCTGAAAAAAAACACACTGAGGTTTTCCTAAATAACAGCTCCATTTTAAATGTGTTTCATTATCTTGCCAGTTGAGGGAGGAGTTTGTGTGCAACACTAATTCAAAAACAAGATGGCCACTCACATTCTGGATGTTTGCATTCCGATTAAACCATTTCTCGTTTGAAAAACTTGAGTCATTTATTCTAACTAAAGGAAAGTTTCGAACAGAATCTTTTTCTTTTTCATTTTTCCAGAACAAAGCTAAATTGGTCATTGAAATGAGCGTGATGCTGTAAAACGCGTTCAGTCCCGTGGCGGGTTTGGACCAGAGAACGGAAGCTTACTTCACTTTTCATTTGGTTCCCAAAAACTTTCCCAACTCGTTTAGCTAAATATCCAAACTGTGACCTGGAGCAGCACAATCTCCAGATATATATAGCAGCAGCATGTCAGAGCACTGACACACACACACACACACACACACACACACACACACACACACACACACACACACACACACACACACACACACACACACACACACACACACTTACATCCTCTGTGTTTGTGCTGCAGGAAGAGAAAAACCTGAGTCGATCCAGTATGAAGGGGGCGTGCAGTCTCCTGCTCTTCCTCATCGGAGTCACCTGTTTATATGGAGTCACTGCTCAGACCACAGGTGCGTCTGATTACACAGCTTTACAGGCCATGCACACACATACTTACACACAGGCACACACCATGTGATAAGTGCAAACCCCAGCCTTTGACCTTTCTGAGCTAACTCCGCCCCTTGGATGGGAGGTTCTGGTACCTGTCGGCCGGCAGATCGAATCTGGGAGAAGTCCTGACAAACAAACTGAATTTGAGACCGATGAGAGCAGCAAGGAAATGTTTTAAAATCTAAAACTACAAAGTTAATCTCTTTGTGTGAGTGGACGCTCCTGGTTTGTCTCCAGGTTCAAAACCAAGGAATCCATGTGTTGGATCAGAACCTTCTAATGCAGGGGTGGGCAGTGCTAATGTAAAGTTCAGATGAGCTGCTGCTGAGTCAGATATTTCAGTTTGTTTGGATCAGATTTCTTCTCTGTTGATTCTTGCAGGTAAGATGATGATTTCTCACGGATTGTCCAAGTGACCTCTTTTCCCCACCCTTACTTCAGCTTTGCACACAGATTTCACTGAGGGGGACTTCTAAGGCCTAATCCACACGTAGCCGGGGTTTTTTTTAAAACGAATATCCGCCCCTCCAAAAACTTGCATCCACACCACCTCGTTTTAAAAAAAAACTGTCCACACGTACCTGGATAAATACGTTGTTAAGGACATGCCAGACCTGTGGGTGGCAGTACTTTCCCCGTTCTTAACCTCGTCCTTCGTCTGTGGTCTTCCGCAAGGAGCAGTAACTCCACTTGCAAAAACAAACAAGCAAAAAGCGCTTAGACAATTGATAAACGAGCGCAGCTCTGAGGGCATCCATGCTGTCGGCTAGTGTAAACACAGGTCGCACACGTGATGTCAGCATTTTTTTGTCGCGGAAAGTGACGTTGCGGACCTTAAAACTCCGGTTTTGTCTGTCCACACATGTATGTACAGTCTATGGTCCACACGCAGACACTCAAAACGGAGAAAACGCAGATCTTCACTTTGGCCGGAGTTTTTAAAAAGATCAGTTTTCGTGTGAAAAAACTCAGTTTTTGTGTGGATGGCAGGCCAAAACGTAGAAAAATATCTATGATTTGGCAGATCCCCGGCTACGTGTGGACAGGGCCTAAGACTCAAATGAAATAAAGTCCCAGTTTTGATGATCGGATGTTCAATTGGATTCTTTTTATTTTGTTTGAAAGAAAATATAAAAATTAAATCAATTAGCTTATTGTGACAACTAGAGGATCCTGCTTCCAGATGAGTGCTCACTAGTTAAAATTATTTTGTTAAAATCCTCAGAGTGTGAATAAAATAAAGACTCATTGGAACGCAGACAGAACCAGATCAGACTGGATCGGCTTGTTTTTATTTCATCACTGTTTTCAAAAGGCCTGAGCTTCACCTGCATGCTTCAGTTTCCTCACGCACCTCCGCTGCTGTCCAGAAACAGTCCCCAGCTGGACAGCAGCACAAGTCACGCAACACCCCAACCACCATAAATCACGCTGATGCTCCCTCACCAGTGGCTAGCATGCTGTAGTAGACCCAGGACCCATTCAGGTCTGTGGAGCTTTTCCTTGTAGATGTCTGTAGGACCCATCCATGACCTCCAACCCCCCCCCCCCCCCCTCAGTCTGCACTCAAGAGGCCATAGCTGACATCGTCTTCCTGGTGGACGGCTCGTGGAGCATTGGCTCTGACAACTTCCAGCAGATCCGTCAGTTTCTGGTCACACTGGTCAACAGCTTCGACATCAGTCCTGATCATGTAAGGATCGGCCTGGTCCAGTACAGCACCAGTCCACGCACGGAGTTCCAGCTCAACAGCTACCGGAACAAGGAGGACATCCTTAAATACATCAAGTCATTGCCTTACCGGGGAGGTGGAACCAACACGGGTAAAGGGCTGGACTTTATGCTGAAGGAGCATTTTGTAGAAGCATCCGGAAGCCGAGCTGAGCAGGAAGTACCACAGATCGCTGTGGTCATCACTGACGGCAAATCGCAGGATGAGGTGGAGTCCTACGCCGAGGAGCTGAGGAAACACGGGATCATTCTGTATGCTATTGGTATCAAAGATGCAGATGAAGAGGAGCTGAAGCAGATTGCAAACCATCCGTATGCCCAGCACGTCCATAGTGTGTCGGAGTTCGCTGCGCTGCACGGAATTTCTCAGAACATCGTCCAGACGCTGTGCACCACAGTAGAGGAAGCAAAGAGGCAACATCTGCAACTGCCTCAAGGTAATCTGGTCCCAGAGCAGTTCTCACATACTATCCTTAGGTTCATCCTTAGGGCTGGTCTAGGACCGCCTAAAATACAAGTCACAGGTCAGATCCATAAATCCGGACCTTTACTGAGTCAGGGGCAAGGTTTTGGAGTAAAATATGTTTCTGATGGGAGAAACCCTAGACCAGCGAGGCTTTGTTCTTGTGAAAAGTGAAGAAACTTTCAGCTCACAGTCACAGAAGTTCTTTTAGTGATAGGAGTTGTGGCTGAAGGTTCGCACCTTACACAGGTAAAGTAGTGATTCAGTCTCTGAGGTTTACCTTTGGCACCTGAATCCATTTAATCAATATTCTACAAAACTCTAATCTGTTTCAGAATGTGCCAAAGCCACTGTGGCCGACATCGTCTTCCTGGTGGATGGCTCCACCAGCATTGGCATGGACAGCTTTCAGGAAGTTCGGCGGTTTCTCAGAAGTATCGTCTCAGGCCTTGACATCGGCCCAGACAACGTCCGTGTCGGCTTGGCTCAGTACAGCGATGAAACCTACCAAGAGTTCCTGCTGAAGGACCACTTGGATGCCCAGTCTCTGCTGGCTGCGGTCGACAGCCTTCCATATCGGTCAGGAGGCACAGAGACGGGCAAAGCCATTGACTTCCTGCTGTCTCAGTACTTCACAGAGGAGGCGGGGAGCCGAGCCAGTCAGCGGGTGCCTCAGATTGCTGTGGTCATCACCGATGGCGACTCAGCTGATGATGTGGATGGTCCGGCCCAGCGGCTTCGACAGCAGGGGGTCATCGTGTTTGCCATCGGAGTGGGACAGGCCAACATGGAGGAGCTGGAATCCATCGCTAACCGACCACCATCTCGCTTCCTGTTCACCATTGATAGTTACCAGGCCCTGCAGAAGCTGAAGGGAGGTCTGCTGCAGACTGTCTGCGTCTCCATGGAGGACCAGAGGCAAGGTGAGATGGATTACAATCATGAATATCTTTGAATTTAGGAGATGTAGGTGTGAGTGGGTTCAGATTACACATAATCCAAATGAACACACAGCTCTACGAATGAGGCTGAAGTGACTGATGTTTTCTGTTTTATTTTCAGCCTTGGCTGAAAAGTTTGCAGACATTTTCTTCCTCGTGGACGGCGGCATCACAGCAACTCAGTTCCAGCAGGTCAGAAACATCCTGGTCCGACTGTCCAATCAGCTGAACTTTGATGCTTCAGCCTACCGCCTGGGTTTGGCCCAGTACGGGCAGCAGGTGGAGGTGGATTTTCTTCTCAATAAGCACCAAACCAAGGAAGAGACTCAGGCTGCTGTCAAACGCTTCCGCCAACTCCAACTTTCACCAACAGACCCACGAAATCTGGGCGCCGCCTTGCTGCACGCCAGCAAATTCTTCTTCACTGAAGAGGCAGGAAGTAGAGCACATCAAGGCTACCAACAGTTCCTGGTGGTCCTGAGTGGGAAGGACTCCAGCGATCCCGTGTATAAGCCGGCACGTCTGATCAAATCAGCTGGAGTAACTGTGGTGGGAATAAGCCTTGGTGCGTCGATGAGAGAACTACGGGTGATATCCACGTCACCTTACGTCTACCAGTTCAACAACACCAATGCGCCTCTTCTCCGCAGGACTGTTGAGACAGAGGAAGCAGAGACCTCTCTAACTGGAGGTAAAGAAAGCTGAAAGATTTAATTTCATTACCTGTTATCTGGCTGCTGCAGCTGAATCGGTGATGTCCGATCCTGGTCCTGGAGGGTCACAGACCTGCATGTTTAGATGTTTCTCTGCAGCTGATTAGAATCAAGTAGTCATCACTGGGTTTCTGCAGAACTGCAGGATCTGCTGAGAAGAAAAATCATCCATTAGGCCAGAGAAACATCAAAAACAGTCGGGGTAGTGACCCTCAATGACCAGGACAGGACACCATTGAGTTTGCTGCTTTAGGAGAAAAAATGGATGCCAGGTGCGTTTTTTTTTTAATGAAAGCATTGCTGTGCACTCAAGCCTGTTTCTGTTGCCTACCCTGTGTTAATGACACCGAGGTGCTCCATTAGTTTAGCTTAATAGCTAGCTAATGCCAGTGTTTCTGCTCCAGTAAGTAAAAACATCTCTTGGCAGTGAAAAGTTTCTGATAGTTTTTATATAAACCGTTAGGAAACATTAAAAGTGCTTTCGTGTGGGTCTCTACTGCCTCTAGAAACACTTCAAACATGACGAAACCCAACCATCCATGTTCTATCAATGTTTTTTTAGAGATTAACTACTTAAAACAAGCTAAAACATAAAAGTCCCTTTTTGCGATGTCACAATAAGGGGCATTAGCAAAGAACACCCCCACCCATTGCTGCTGAAGGAGCCACTCCGATCCACATTCCTTCTGGATACCCCAGTTCCTCACCTCATAGCAGCCAATCAGGGGGTGGGTGGGCATGGCCAGCAACTGTTTGTTCTCCTTATGGAGACAGAGCCCTGAAATGACTCATTTTAGAAGGTATGGGAAAAACTGCTGAAATTGCTTTATATGAGACCATAAACCTGTTATAAATTTAAAGAAGTCAAAAGATGTCCCCTGTAAAGTTGTTTTTTGTGTTTTTGTCCTCATCATCTCCTCTGTCTTAGAACTCTTCTCTGTTTCTCTAAACTGAGGTTGTTCAGAGAGCTTTCTACTACATGTGAGATGCTAGTTGTTTGTAAACAATCCAGGAGGCTGATGCATCAGATGAAGTCCTTCAGGGCGATGTGGCAGAGGAGTTAAGGGCCCACCCCATAACTGGACGATTGCAGGTTCAAGCCTTGCTCAGTCTGCCGCAGTCTTTGTGTTCTTGGGCAAGGCACTTCACCCTCTTTGCTACAATGTAGCTCATCACCAGCAGTGTGTGAAAGTGTGTGTGAATGGATAAATGACTGTTGTGTTGTGAAGCACCTTGGGGGTTGTATAGTTCTAGAAGGTGCTATATAAATACAGGACATTTATCATTCATTATTTCATCTTCTCAAGTAAAACACGCTGAACGTCTCTAATCTAGCTGAACTCTTTTCTGCAGACTGTAGAGCCGCCAAACTGGCCGACGTTGTGTTCATTGTTGATGAGTCTGGAAGCATTGGAGTTCCCAATTTCCAGCTGGTTCGAACCTTCCTACACTCCATCATCAGCGGCCTGGAAGTCGGTCCAAACAGAGTCCGAGTGGGGATTGTCATGTACAACACAAAGCCCACAGCGATGGTCTACCTGGACACGTTCAACACCAAAACTGAACTGCTGAACTTCATCAAGATCCTGCCTTACCGTGGAGGAGGTACCAACACAGGAGCTGCCCTAACCTTCACCCAGGAGAACGTCTTCGTCACAGATAAAGGAAGCAGAAAGGATAACGGTGTCCAGCAGGTAGCAGTGGTGATCACAGATGGAGAATCTCAGGACAACGTGAGCCAAGCAGCAGCTGATCTTCGCCGCGCTGGAGTCACTGTTTATTCTGTTGGAGTCGAGAATGCCAACGAGGTTGAGCTGCAGCAGATGGCTTCTTATCCTCCACAGAAACACGTCTTCATCGTGGACAGCTTTGCTAAACTCAAGTCTCTGGAGCTGAGCCTTCAGAGGAGCCTCTGCTACAACATCCTTCGCCAGGCAGTCTCAGTCAGTACCAGGAGGACCGGGATCAAAGAAGGTCAGAATCAGTGTTTGGAAAATACTCACCTAAGATCCACCTCCCACAAAGAATTCCGAACATTTCTGGGAATAACATTCACACGTTTGTGTTTCTTTTACAGGTTGTGTACAGACAGATGAAGCAGACATCTTCTTCCTCATCGACCACTCAGGAAGCATTCACCCATCAGACTTCCACGACATGAAGAAGTTCATTCTTGAATTCATCGACACCTTTCGTATTGGTCCCCAGCACGTTCGCATAGGGGTTGTCAAATATGCAGATGACCCAAACCTGGAGTTTGATCTGATCACCTACACAGATGCGCAGACGCTAGGAAAAGCTGTGGAGGAAATCCTGCAGATCGGAGGTGGTACAGAGACAGGGAAAGCTCTGTCATTCATGAGCCCTCTGTTCAAGGAAGCTGCAGTTTCTCGAGGACACAAAGTCCGAGAGCATCTGGTGGTTATCACTGATGGGAAGTCTGCCGACAAGGTCAAGGATCCGGCTGAGAGTCTAAGGAAGCAAGGTGTGGTGGTCTATGCCATCGGTGTGAAGGAAGCTGATGAAGAGGAACTAAAGGAAATATCAGGAAACCCCAAGAGGACTTTCTTTGTCAACAACTTTGATGCCCTGAATCTGATCAAGGACGACATCATCACCGATATCTGTACAACAGATGGTAAGTCACTTTCTTTCTTTTCTGGAGCTTACAGTGCCTTGCCAAAACTTTCATACCCTTAGAACTTTTACACATTTTCACTACAATACAAATACACATCCCAATTTTCAGATTTTTATTTATTTTGTGTTGGTCCATCAGAGAAAATATCAGTAACAAACGTTTATGGTGTCAGAATGTTCAAGTAGTATGAATGCTTTTGCAAGGCACTGCACATGGCTGATTGTTTGGACTGTGGGAGGAAGCCACTCAGCAAACTTCTCCTGGTAGATGATCCAGATCATTTTCAGTCAAGTGAGTCTGAGTTTGAGATTAAGGCATTCTTGGTTTTACAATCCCAGAAGGTCCAAATACGCTCATAAGACAGAATTGAGGATGTTTTGTAGGGCCAAGGTCTAGGGGTTGGGATTTCAAGCTAGCTGGCATTAAAAAGTATCTCACTAAAGATTCTCCTTAGCAGAGGTGTGACAAAGTCACTGCTTTCCAAGTCACAAGCAAGTCACAAGTCTTTCCAGTCAAGTCTCGAGTCAAGTCCAAGTCAAGTCCAAAGTCAGTGATGTGGAAGTCCAAGTCAAGTCCAAGTCCTTAACTTTGAATTTTCAAGTCATATTCAAGTCATTTGTCCAACTTCAATTTAATGACAATGATAATAGATAAATTCCAGAAACAAAGCTTCTTAAAGCTTCATTTATTTGCTCAAACAAGCAGAAAGTTCAACTGAACTTGATTCTAAACATTTAGAATCTTTATTTAGCAGAACAAGACCAAACCCAGAATGAAGAATGATTTATGATTTTTGTCCATGTCGTGCCGCTTTTGTGCTAAAATATCAAATATTCTCGAGTCATCATCAAGTCAACAAATGCAAGTCGATTCAAGTTGCAAGTCATTGGTGTTTAAGTCCGAGTCAAGTCCTAAGTCTTTATAGATTTTATCAAGTCAAGTCAGAAGTCATTAAAATAATGACTCAAGTCTGACTCGAGTCCAAGTCATGTGACTCAAGTCCACACCTGTACTCCTTAGTTACCTGTAAATAAATACTGTGGTAAAGTCGTGTTTTTTCCAATTGAGGCAACTGGCAAAAAAATTCTTGTGTTTTTCTTGGTTAATTGTTTTTAGTGCCAATTCTTTTGACTTTTTAGCATTTTTTGGCTCATATATATTTTATTTGTTATGTGCTTTTATAATCTATTGCACTTTCAATTTTATTTTGTAATCCTGGATTGGACTGAATAACTAGTTGGACTCAAAAGGAAGTCAACTTGTTTTATTTCCGAATCTTCTGGGAGACTCATGGAGAACGGTTTACTTCCACATGGAGGTTCTATAGGTAAATTCCTGGTTTTGTAAGGAGAGGTAATTCCAGGTGTGTTTGATTAGCGTTGCTGATTTTTTGAGGAGTTGTTCAAGCAGATGATGACCACACTGTCTCTGACTTATAATCGATTGATTCCAGAAGACCCAACAGATCTTAAGATGTTTGTTCTGACTTGTCCACAGTTTGCAAGGACATACCAGGTGACCTCCTGTTCCTCATCGATAGTTCTGGAAGCATCTACCCAGAAGACTACAAAAAAATGAAAGACTTTATGAAGTCCATCATCAGTACATCTTTTATAGGGGAGAACGATGTTCATGTTGGTGTCATGCAGTTTGGTACCACCCAGCAGCTGGAGTTCTCTCTCAAACAATACTTTACCAAGAAGGACATTCTGGTGGCGGTGGATGGCCTTCGTCAGATAGGTGGAGGAACACTGACAGGCCGAGCTATCAGCGAGGTGTCTCAATACTTCGATTCAGCCAGAGGGGGGCGCCCAGATCTACGACAGAGACTCATAGTTATCACCGATGGCGAATCCCAAGACCAGGTCAAAGATCCTGCTGAGGCTTTGAGGGCCAAGGGGGTGCTGGTCTATGCCATTGGAGTGGTGGATGCCAACACTACCCAGCTGCTGGAGATCAGTGGATCACCTGACAGGATTTACTCTGAGAGGGACTTTGACGCTTTGCAGGACCTGGAGAGACAGGTGTCCTTGGAACTGTGTGATCCAGAGAGAGGTGAGAATTGAAACCTTTTAGCTAAAGCTGCTCAATGGTATGTGTGAGCATCGACATCGCAATGTGCGCCCGCTGTTATGTCAGAGAACTTAAAGTTTTCTCACCTAATGTTACGAGTCCCTGAAATGCAGCAACCCACCAATCACAATCCGTTTATCATTTTCTGAATGTCATTGTTTATTTGATGTGTTAATCAACAACATACTGTGCCACAATTGGTTCAAATTACACACACAAGATGAGGGGGCAGTACTTAATAATTGAAGAGTTTGCCTGAGCAGAGGAGGGGTAACCCTTCACCTCTTAGATCAGGTAAGCTTACACATCAGGGTGAGCTTTAAACGTTATGATGAAAACTGCGATATGTTATGTTGGATTGGTGATGTAAGACTTAGTATAGTTATGAATTAGGGCTGCACGATATTAGGAAAACCTGTGATATGCGATAACAGATATTAATATTGCGATGACGATATTCCTTGCGATAAATAAAAACTTAACTCAGGAACAAAAATGATCAAAAACAAATAAATTCAAAAATGACACAAAAATTCATAAAAATGAGAAAATCAAAAGATGTGAGGAAAGGGGAAAAGAAAATGAACAAGAAAAGGCAATCAGTGGATCTCGGGAAAAGCAGAATCAGCAGAAAGAGCAGAACAAAGCTAACTCAGGTGTTTGCTAACCATCAAAATGAAATGCCGTTGTTGGTACAAGATCTGCTCGGGTGCAAGATCGGCTCGGGTCCGTCGACTGCCGATGACGTCTAAGTAGTTGATTGGCAGAACATGAACCTTCCGGAATTACGCAATCACGTTACGTTGTTATCACGTTACGTTGGTCCAGGCAAATCTTTCTTTTGGAAAGATGGACAACTTTTACAAAGAAATCCATCATTACCTCTTTGAAAATACACTTTCAGCATAGAGCTGCATGTATATTAGGGCTGAACGATTAACTGCATGTACAATTAAATTGCGATGTGACAAAAGGAGATTTTCTCATCGCAAAGGCTTCAATTTGGCAGCGAGTGGTTAGCGCAATGCTAATATACGTGGAAAAACCCATAGGAATGCTAATGCTAATATCACCAATTACATTATTACAAATTATGAATTAGAAATGTGCCAAATGATTACATTTGGAGTCTAATAGAAAGTAAAACTACCATCAATCAAATAAGTACAGACAGTTATTTTAGTAAAGCCAACTTTTGACTCCAGAGTTTTGGCTAGCAGCTATGAGCGTAACTGAACTACGCATGGACAAGACGTCAAAAACTAAACACAAAATACTTCAATAAACGGGACACACTTCTTTCCTGCAAATACAATTTCACAGGTGTTGCTAATATACCTATGATCCTTCAAGGGATGTGCTCAAAGAGGAGTTCAACATTATGAATAAAATATAGTGTTTTATTTTACAAATACCATTATAAACACAAACTTACGTCTTAAGAAACATTATTTTAATAATGAAACTGCTAAATTCTTTCCAACAGTATAGATGTGTAGCGTATTTTGTCCGAGTGGGTTTGCCGTACTTTGACGTCATCGGCAGTCGAAGGACCCCAAGCCGATCTTGCACCCGAGCAGATCTTGTATCGACACCGTCCGCATCGGGGGCGGGCGTCTAACCTATGAGAACCCAGAGCTCTATTTGATTTGTTTAAAAAAATCAGGCTTCCGTGTGATTGACAGAATGCATTATGTGTAGCAAACGTTTGAGCTGACTATTCATTGCGACCTTTATCTGTTCTTCGCTATATGCATATTGCGCATGCTGATATCGCAATAACGATATATTTCCGATATATTGTGCAGCCCTAATATAAATTAATTATTCTTTTGGCAGATATTAAATGGACCCTTGTGAATGTAAACATTTTTTTAGATCTCATATGAGGCTTTAGTAAGTTAGACCTTTCTGAGTGTGTTTCTGAGTCCAAGGTGTTTATTGTGTCAACAGTTTTGAATGTATCATGTTACAAAAAGATGCTTATTTGACATGGAAAATGTCATTTACCTCTCACAGTACATAAAACACCAACGGGGTCATTTGTCATCCAGATGGCAGGAGTGCAGCATAACCTTAAGTACATTAAAGTCATCTGTTGAACATTCTTGTATTTTTCAGTATCGCAGGGTTGGAATAAATTGCCTGGTGATTTTATTTTTTTACCATAAAACATCCAACAGTATCAGAAGCACTTTGGGGGTGACGCTGGAAGAGGAGCAGCAGGTTCAGGGTGCAGGAGGTCTTATTTCTGATCCACATTCAGCAATTCTTTTGTCTGTTTTCATTTTTCCTCCCAGACTGTAAGAAGACAGAACAAGCAGACATTATCTTCCTGGTGGATGGCTCCACCAGTATAACCCTACCCAAGTTCAGAAGCATGCAGAAGTTTATGCAGTCCATGGTGAACCAGACCACGGTTGGCAAAGACCTGACTCGCTTCGGTGTCATCCTTTACGCCAACAACCCCAAGTCTATCTTCACTCTGAACCAGTACAGCACCAGACAGGAGGTTTTTAAAGCAATATCAGGACTGAAGTCTCAGTTTGGAGAAACCTTCACTGGAAAGGCCCTGAGGTACTCGCTCCAGTTCTTTGATGGTGAGCATGGAGGTCGGGCAGAGCTAAAAGTGCCTCAGATCCTAATGGTGATCACAGATGGAGATGCTACAGACCATCAAAGTCTGGTGGCGTCATCGGTGGCACTGAGGGACAAAGGAGTTCAGGTCTTCAGCATTGGAGTGGAAGGAGCCAACGTGACGCAGCTGGAGATCATGGCTGGTCAGGACACGTCCAAAGTTTTCTATGTGGACAACTTTGCTGCCCTGGAAACGCTCCACAAGAACATCACCCAGGTGCTCTGCAACTACACCAAGCCAGGTAAGAAGGACAACACCTTCTCATGGTATTGTCAATCTGGTCATACAAGGACAGACAGATATGTCCTCTAACACCAAGTCCATATTTTAGGCGTGCCTTTTCCAGGTTATTTCTGCACGACCAGTTTTGGTCCCCTGTAAGTGCAGACTGTGACGCCAGATGAAATCTTTTTCATCATGTCTCCTGCACACCCTGTATTGCTTTGATTAGGGTGTTCATATATGGGCTAATTCTGGTCCAAATAAGGCCGTCATGTATTGCTGTGGCCATGTTGTGAGTTATTTCATGTCTCCATCTGCACAATTACAAAAAGACAATCCCCTTATGTCCAAATATAAAAAAATAAGTATAAATTCAGATAGTCCAGGTTGTGCTGAAAAGATTAATACTACAAAAGGCAGTAGTAATGGTGTTTGTTTTGGAAATACAAAGGAAAAATCTAAATGAACAAAAAATAGCAATTCACACCCTGGACCCCAGAGGGTTAAAGGTTGGATATGGAACAAGAACACCAAAGCAACATCTAGTATGTGTATGTTGTAGTTTCAACAATAGAACGAGGTTTACAGCCATTGGGATACCAGATTCGCTTTCGCTTTAGATCTTTTATGGTCGCTCCTCTTCTGTGAAGGACAAGGACATCTTCTGGGCTCTGGAGCAGCTGCTTGACTTGCCGAGTCTGCCATTTTCCAGCTTCGCTGTGTGAAGCAGACTGTTTACAGTATTTGGTAACCCGTAATGGTGCCCTCTATTGGCTGGTAGATGTAAACATAAACCAAGTCTCGTGCCCGTGAAAATAAATATTTGACAAGTTTTTACTTAAAATGTAGCTTCTAAGGAAATACTGTACCTTCATTCTGCACACCTATAAATATAGCTTTTCATTAAGTTGTTCCATGTTCAACCTTTAAATCTGAAACGTAGAAATAAAGACACAGTTGATTGTTATTGCATCCTTACTAATCAGTCATTAGGGACATGCTTACATTAGCATTGCGAAGGATTTTCGCTAACGCCGATGCAAAGTGATCTACCAAAACTGCAGATTTGGATGATCTAACCTCACAAAGTTTAACAGAAATGAACAAAACTGACTTGAACAAACTTACCTTCAAACTACTGGAAGTGAGGTTCTAACTTAGCCAAATGGTATTTTCTTCTCCTTCTTCTTCTTTGAGATTTTAAAGAGACAATGTGTCTCTTTTCTGAGTATTTCTCTTATGCAATGGCACCATCTAATGGCTGACAAGCATATCACACAAAAAGTCTGTCGCTCAGCTTTTTTAAGCTGGCGACTTCACGTTTTTTGTTTATAAATGTGCTTCTGTAGCCGGCAAACAGAGCTAAAACACGTTGTTTTATGAGTTACTACTCTCATGTCATGTTGTGTTTTCATATATTTATATTTGAAAGACTTTCTTGTCCGTGAAAAGTTCATCAACTCTGCATCAGCCGAGGTATTCCTTGAATTTGAAGCAGTCTAACACTATTGGTTAGTTCTGTCAGCACTCAGTTTCCTATTGCACGGAGCTCTGTGGGGCAGGGGGCATGTTTAGCAAAAAAAAAAAAAAAAAAACGACATATTGGTTACATTATATCACAGCAAGACAATCACTTTTACGGATTTCTGAAAAACCATACATAATTTCTGAAAGTAGAAAACTCCGGAAAGCTACTTTAATCTCTGGAAATATTCATCAAACTGTTGTTGAAAAAGAATTAATTGATGCTGAGTTGTTGAAAAATATTGGTGGCTTTGTAACAAATAACCATAAAAATTGGGTAAGTAGACGTGGGTCAAAGTCCCCGGACGACGCCATATTAGACAAGATGTTTCCTTCTACGCGAACCCGTGAGGACAGAATGCGTTTACTGATTATAAGCAGTGACAAAACTTTCACCATTCCTAATCATTGTTGTTTCACACACTTACCTCTTATATTTATCTGATCCTTTAACCCTCTGGCTGAATAGATCGGCTGTTTGTTTGTGAGGTCCAGCTGTAGGGGGTGCGTAACGTGGATTTCCTTTGTGTTCCCAGTTTGTGAGAAACAGCAGGCTGACCTGGTTTTCCTCATCGACCAATCTGGGAGCATCGATACGTCCGACTACACCACCATGAAGAACTTCACAGTGGAAGTGGTGAACAGCTTTAAAGTCAGTGAGGATTTAGTGCGTGTTGGAGTGGCCCAGTTCAGCACCAATTTTCAGCACGAGTTCTACCTAAACCAGTTCTACACTGAGAAGGAGGTGTCCAGCCACATCCTGAGTATGAATCAGGTGGGTGGAGGCACCAACATCGGACTCGCCCTGGACTCCATCCGGGAATACTTTGAGGCTTTGCACGGCAGCCGTAGGTCTGCAGGAATCTCCCAGAATCTGATTCTGATCACAGACGGAGAATCACAAGACGACGTAGAAGATGCAGCTCTGCGTCTCAGAGCCCTGGGAATCGAGATGTTTGCCATCGGCGTTGGAGATGTGCACGATCTGGAGCTGCTGCAGATCACTGGTGATCCAGGTCGGCTGTTTACTGTCAACAACTTTGGCGACTTGGAGACCATCAAACAGAAGGTGGTTGACACCATCTGCAAGTCCGAAGTCCCTCTCAATCCAACAGGTGGGTCTGAAGTGTTTAATGGTTCTGATTGTCTTTTCCTGGCTAACATGATGGCATTCTGTTGCAGATTGCTCCATTGACATCGCCATGGGATTTGACATCTCTCACCGGACTGGAGCTGCTGGTGAGACGCTGGTCAGCGGCCAGAACAAGCTGCAGGCCTTCCTCCCAGAGATTGCCCACTACCTCTCCTCGGTACCACGCCTGTGCTGCACCAACGAGCCCATCAGCACCAGCTTAGGTTACCGTGTGGCAGGCCGGGACGGACGCCGCCTGCATGACTTCAACTTTGAGGCATACAGCGAGGATGTGGTGAAGAAGGTCATGAACCTGAGGTTGGACCAGCCTACTTACCTCAACTCGGCCCTGCTTAGATCCTTCCAGGAGAAGTTCCAGTCCGAGTCTAGAGCTGGTGTGAAGGTGAGCCGCTGTCCTCCCAGGATACATTAGGTCTTTTGGAGGGACTAATTGCTAAATCGACTCTTCGTTTTTATTGTTGGATAATGCTGAATTTTCCTAATGGAAGTGAGCTGCTCTGGCCCAATTCTCCCGACCAGAACCATCCATCCTGACAGCATCTCTCTGCTGTTTCTGACCCATGTCCGATGATTTTGGACCATTTGTAGGAGTTCAGGAACGTTACTGAAATGGTTTTCAGAATGTTTAAAACGTTGGATATTTGTGTTTCTGTTCCTTGATACCAGAACAACAAATCTGGATCCAGAATCAGTTTAAATAATCTTTCGTAAATCTGACAGATTTATGGTCGCGTAAACACATTTTGGATGGATTTATTTTGACTGTAACAAGATTTATTTGTTTGGATTCCTTTAATTAAAGATCAGATGGTTCCAGACTGATGCGTTCATAATAAATCACTGATCCTTCTATAGCCTGAAGTTGTTTCAGGGACTTTAGTTTAACGTGTGGCTGATCCATCAGGTTCTGGTGATCTTCTCAGATGGACCCGATGAAGACGTGATGGTCCTACAGAGAGAATCAGAACGGCTGCGACAGTCTGGTAAACTACACACCACACACACCACGCACTCAGAGTCTGTGTGTTAGCTGCTCTGACGGTGTGTGTGTGTGTGTGTGTGTGTGTGTGTGTGTGTGTGTGTGTGTGTGTGTGTGTGTGTGTGTGTGTGTGTGTGTGTGTGTGTGTGTGTGTGTGTGTGTGTGTGTGTCTAGGAGTCAACGCTCTGCTCATCGTTGCTCTGGAGGGCGTCCGTGACGCCACTCAGCTGCAGATGGTTGAGTTCGGACGGGGATTTAACTACAAACTTCCTCTGAGCATCGGCATGCCGAGCGTCGGCAGCACGGTCCTCAAACAGATTGTGAGTTTCTTTCAGAACACAACAGCTCACAGAAGATCAAACATCACTGTTCATGTCTGGAGTTCCAGCTCACTCGAGTCTATTGTTCTGTTTTTTATCCTGAGAATTCAGTTTTTGTATTCATGAGTTTTGATGATTTAAGTTTTAATCTGAAAAAAACTCCTGTCAGTATAGGTCAGGATTTCAGCTCTGAGCGCTCCGACTGGAGGCTGAAGAACTGCTGTGTTTCCAGCAGTAATCAGAGCTGTTCCTGTTCCTCAAAAACCAGAACTCGTCCAACTTTCTCTCAATTGCTTCGAAATAGCAGCTGTCCCTACAAATCCAGACATTCCTCATTATTCGATCCAACAGAATATGCCTCACTGGACCTTCAGGATTAAGCAATAAGAAATTCTTTTACAGGAAAAATGTTTCCCCTTTCCTGACGCTTCCGATGTCTGGGAACAAAAAGAACAAAAGTCCTCGGGGACATGTTTACTGCAGAAAACATTCAGGTTGCTTATTTTCAAAGGAAATCCCAGATTACTTCAGTGGTTTTTCTTCAATGTGACTGAATCAGCTCCTTCATGAGTTTAACACTGATCGGCTGGTTCAGGATGGGTGGGCATCACGTTAGAGCCAAAAAGCATCAGGATGGAACCACATCAGGGTTAATAGTCCCTGTCGGTGTCTCCTCAGAGTTCAGCTCAGAAACAACAAGCTCCACAGAAGGAATCTGGTTCTGCATCCTGCAGCAGATCAAAACCCTCCCAGACGTTCAAGTCTAAGAGTTCTCCAATGTCTGTGTTCTTCCTGCAGGATGCCGTGTCGGACCGGGAATGCTGCAACGTCACGTGCAAATGTTCAGGACACGAAGGCATCCGTGGCTCTCGGGGGCCTCCAGGACCAAAGGTGACTGGAATGCACACATGCTTCAACTTTAAAGTTTTCATGAGTTAGAAGGAGGCTGAGAGGAAGCAGAATGTTAATGCAGCAGAGGGGTCAGAGTTCAACCTATACTGTTACACAAAGAAAGGGTTTTCCCTGGATCCTGAGAGGAATCTGATTCCCCTCAGCTTTCATCTGCATCCTGTTTTCATCTGAATCAAACTGAGGTCAGAGAGAAAATGTCTGTTGTTAAAGTAAATCTATAAGATTTCAGATTCAGGCTTCTTGGTTTATCTCTAAACAACAAGAGAAAAGACGCCAGAACAGACCAGACCAGATGGAGCTGCAGCTGTTAGATAGATCTGGATTTCTGCTCATTTATTCAATTATCAAATATCCTGAAAAACAGAATGGATGAATGATAGATTGTTTTTATTGTTTTCTGAATATTTTTAGGCTCATCATCAGTTTACATTAGTGCCGGTGAAGAAAATCAGCTGCTAATTAAAAACTAATGAATTAAGCCTGTTTGGGTTCTCCTGTATGTTTACTTTGAGTTTTAGTTCAGGTTCTCGTGTCTAAAGCTGCTGTTTGTCTCCAGGGCGTGCCGGGACAGAGGGGATACCCTGGATTCCCCGGAGAGGAGGGCGTTGCTGTAAGAGCCTCTTCATCACCTCATCATCCACACACACACACACAAACAGGGTTCTCCTGCTCAGGTCATATTCATAGTTTTAGGTTCTTTTAGAACCAGGTTTCACTTTAAAATAAACTCACATCATTTCTCCATAAAGTCACTTGTTTTCATGGATCAGAGTCACACAGGGATGAGGAAACACTGAATCAGTTATTTAAACAAAACAAAGTCCAACAGATTTATTTTAGGAGGATTTTATTCGTTTTTCAGAAGCATCGGAGGGTGGTTAAAAGACAAAAGCTCAATAAACGTGTTTATTCTAGTTCCTGTTTAGCAGAACAAGTCCTAAAAACAGCGGACCGGGTTGGGTTTGAAAACAGCGAGAAGTTTCACAGAAACCTGACTGTTTGGTTTGACCTGCAGAGGAAGTTCTACTGGGTCCTGACTGTTTCAGCTGATATAAAACAACAAAACCCACGAAAAAATTGTTACAGAACTGCTGATTCAGTGATTGTAGATCAGCTGTAGGCACCTGGGCAGGTTTGGTTAGATGTTGAGCTGCAGCTGGTCTCTGCAGGGTGAGAGGGGCTATCCTGGACCTTTTGGACCTCCTGGAGTCCAAGGCTGTTCTGGACTCAGAGGACAGAAGGTATGACCCGGTTATTGAAGATTTATTCACTGATGACCCATCAGTGGTCTGACTGCTGCTGCTCGTCTCTGCAGGGGAACCGAGGTCTTCGGGGGAACCGGGTGAGTATCTCGGATCGGGCCACGGTCAGGCTGGTGTGACGTGAAGTTTTGGAGCAGTAGAGACCAGATTCTCATCTCAAGCTTTTATTCTAACATTTCAGGGTGAAGATGGAGAGGACGGATTGGATGGAATCAATGGAGAACAGGTACCAGCATCTTTATCATGTGGTGTTAGGTCTGAGGGAAGACAAAGTAAGTGTGGAGTCACTTCAGCAGATTATCTCACAAACTAGTTTCAACAGTCAGAATCAAGCTGTAGAAACCCGTCCAGCTAGCTACTAACAACCAATAGCCAGGCGCCTCATTTATAAAGCTGGCTCACACACAAAACAGGTCTGAAAGCTGCGTACGTCTGTCATGGTCTGTGTCTGCATCTCACCTCATGTGTCTCCTTTTGTCCTCATTCATCTCTAGGTGCTCCTTTTATGTCTTCTAACGCCCTCGTGTGTCATGTTTGCGTCTTACTCATGTGTCTCCTGGTGTTCCCCATTTGCCCTCTAGGTTTCCCTCCTCAGACTTCCCTCTCCTAGGTCCTGTGCTCTCTTGGCCCCCTCTTAGCCACGCCCCTATAGTTTCTTTTTGTAGTGTTTTCCTTTAGTGTCAGCTTCCCCTTAGAATATTAGTTATGGTTCATGCCTTCTGGTCTTTTGTTTTTCTCTTAGGTCATTTTCCTTTGTTACAGCCTTTCATTATTTAGTGTGTTTTTCCCCACCAGTGTTTTCTTCCTCCTCCCTGAGTTAGTAATTATGTTCACCTGGTCCCTCTCCCCACACACCTGCAATTCATCTCCCGCTCATCTTCCTAGTCTATATAAGCCCTGTCTTGTCTCTATGAGGTTGTCGGTCCATTGTATTTCTGTCAGCGTTGTTCGTGCTCTGTCTGAGCTTTTCGTCTCTAGGTCTTCGTGCTCTTAGTGAGCTTCTAGGTTTTTTTTTTGGTGCTCTAAGAGAGCTTTGGGTGTCCTGTGCTCCAGGGCTTTTGGACTTTGGCTCGCTGCCTTGGATTTATTTTTGTTTTTTTATCCTGCAAATAAAAGGGTTTTTACTTTGAATTGACTTCTGCCTCTTGTCTGGGTAATCTGCATATTTGGGTCCTAAACATCCCCTCAACGTGACAACGTCACTTCCTATGCAAACTTTATGATTTATAGAAAAAAAAACGTGATGGGGAAATGTGGCGAACCTCGACCCTGGTGTGAGCACATGTAGGAGACGGGGAAACTGGCAGCACAGTCGCTGAGATGCTAACATGGTGAATTTAAGCCACAATTACAGATTTGTCCTTCCTGTCACACACACACATACACACACAATCACAAAACCAACAGTTTCTACTGGGCCTGATGTTAGACCTGCTTTGGCACCCCTCTATGGAGGTACACCTGCGGCAGGAATTAGTCAACAGGTGGGCTGATATTTGTCATTTCCTGCTTATAGCCTCTTTGGGTTCAATTAAATGTTTCCCTTTGATCTAGAGGATGTCAGTCATCCCTGAGCACCACAATGTAGCCATTTTGAACGGCATATTAAAATGATTAAAATCCTCTTTGCCACCATTGTCAGATCTGATTACTTCATGTCCACCACAGATCTGGCTGTCCCTCTTACAGAGTTCACCACAGCAACAACGCTGCACCACTCTGTCTCTACCTCACCCACAACCACCTCAATTTCAGTCTCAGTGAAACAGTTTTCTAGGCCTTTCAGTTGAAATGCCACCAATCCGCCAGCTTATCTAGAATATTCAGAAGGTCCATAGCATTGACCCTTTATGGCAGAAAGTGGAGGTGGGATGTGATCTGAACACATTTATAGAAAGAGTGTGATTTATAAAGCAGGTATTGTGAGCAGCCGTGTGTAAGCCATGTCTTATTGGTCGGAAGATTACCTTGTATAAGTAAATAATTTTTAATGAGCCTAAGTAGAGTTTTAGTAAAGAATCTTTGCAAAGTTTTATTAATGAGGCCCCAGGAGCTCAACACTAAATAAAAGCTTCAGTCTGACAAACTGGATACTTGCTTTACCGACTAAACAGAAGTTAAACTCCTGTTTTTTTTTTTTTATCTGCGAGGAAATGAGTGGGTGTATTCAGGAAACCAGCTGATTGGAGGGATTTTTCTCCTGTTCTGTGTTTCAGGGCATGACGGGTCGAGATGGAGCTCGAGGAGAACGAGGAAACTCAGGAAACCCAGTAAATGTCCACCAACCTCTAGAAATGTTTCACTATCCAACAGAATAAAGCTTTGTCTTAATCATTCATCATGCCTGCATGAAACACATCAACATGCTGCTTTATGTTTTTATCTGATTCTTTTATCTGTTAATGACCGACACAAACAGCTGCTGATTGTATGGTTCAGATCCATTTGGGCCCTAGCCAGGTTCATCAGGTCCTCCTGGGATTGTGTGTGATCAGTTTGCTAGTTCCCACTAACTACAGCGTCACACTCAGCTGTCCGAGTTAATCTCAAGGCTTTGACCTTTGACCCCCAACAGGTCAACTGATTGCATTGTTTCCTTTAGGGAATCCCAGGTATCCAAGGGGAGCCAGGTCTGAAAGGACAACGAGGACTGAGAGGAGATCCGGTGAGTGGTTGTCCCCATGCGTGTGTGTGTGTGTGTGTGTGTGTGTGTGTGTGTGTGTGTGTGTGTGTGTGTGTGTGTGTGTGTGTGTGTGTGTGTGTGTGTGTGTGTGTGTGTGTGTGTGTGTGTGTGTGTGTGTGTGTGTTTGTGTGTGTGTTTGTGTGTGTGTGGGTGTGTGTGTGTGTGTGCTTCCCCCCTGAGACCAGCTGGACAAAGCTCCTGTTCTGTTGTGTTGCAGGGAGAACCAGGAGCTGATAACGCCTCTCCAGGACCCCGAGGAGAACGTGGCAACCCAGGTTTACCAGTAAGAAACCTAAACTGCTCACCTGTTGTGATAAAGGGTGAAGGGATTTCTGGTGTGTTTTATGTCATCAGGTGAGTTCAGCTTTTAAAGAGAAAATAAAAGGAACAGCGTGTCAGGGGAGGTTTGTTCCTGCTGGCAGCAACGCCGTCTGCTTGTTTCTAAATAATAAGTCTAGTTTCAGACCCTGGGCTAAGTTCTGTTAGGAACTTCAAACGTTATCAGCAGCACACAGATCCTGCTTGGTTCTGCTGTTTGGTGGTTCTTATCTAATCTGGGTCACAATGCTGAGATGTCTTTCAACTAACAGGGAGGTCCTGGACAGGATGGCCAGCCGGGCGGGAGCGGCGGCGCCGGAAACCCGGTGAGCCTTCATGCTTTTATTTTGTTTACTCCAGGAAGTGTCAGAAGGTGCTGAAGGGTCTGTTCGGATTAGATCAATCACCCATCGGATTTAGAGACAATCTTCTCCAAAGCTATCTACAGACCCTCCTGTTGCTGTCATGTCGTCCTGATTTGACGGTTCCATTATAAACCAGACTTCATTTATCTTTACATGTTTTTGCTCTTCAGGGTCCAGACGGAAGAAGAGGTCCTTCTGGTGAGAAGGTATAAAAGCAAATAATGTCTGGGTTCCATCAGAGCTGCTTTACAAACACCAGCAAACACATTTCCTCTGTGGTTCTGCAGGGACAGACCGGAGAGCCCGGTTCTCCTGGACTACAAGGCAGCGCAGGTGCTTCTGGTCCTCAGGTGAGTCCTCAGAGTTGGACTTAGAACCCAGACCTGGTTTAGTCTTTAGCTCAGGTCCAACTGCTGCTCTGTGGAGACTTCAGCTTTCATCCAAATGAGATCAAACCGACCTCCAAAGAGACTCATTCTGAATTTAAACTAAATGAATCATTTTTTTATCCTAATTAGGTCTTAGGGTTCAGAGTCCTGAAGTGGTTTGTTTGTCTCTGCAGGGTCCCAGAGGGGTCAGAGGTCAACCAGGACAGAAAGGAATCCCAGGCCTTCCTGGACCTCAGGTACGCTCACCTGTGTGATTTTTATCTTGAACGTTTAACATCAATGATAAAAAAATAAAATAAATATTTTAAATTAAAAGTATACACACAATGTGGTAACACCTTACAATTAGGGTCCCTTTATTAATGTTTCTTAATGCATTATTAAGCATTGGTTCCTTTATTAACCCAGTTATCTGATCTAAAAGATGAGAGGTCTGTAATTTTCATCGTAGGTTTACCTCAACTTTGAGAGTCAAAATGAGAAAAAAAAATACAGAAAATCACATTATCCGATTTTTAAAGATTTTTATTTTGCAAATTATAGTGGAAAATAAGTATTTAGTCAATAATAAAAGACTAGCTCAATACTTTGTTATAAACCCTTTGTTGGCAATGACAGAGGTCAAACGTTTTCTGTAAGTTTTGGTTTTCACGCGCTGTTGCTGGTATTTTGGCCCATTCCTCCACGTAGGTTTCCTCTACAGCTGTGATGTTTTGGGGCTCTCGCTGGGCAACACAGACTTTCAACTCCCTCCAAAGATTTTCTATGAGGTTGAGATCTGGAGCCTGGCTAGGCCACCCCAGGACCTTGAAATGCTTCTTACAAAGCCACTCCATTACCTGGGTGGTGTGTTTGGGATCATTGTCATGCTGAAAGACCTAGGAGCATTTCATCTTCAATGCCCTTGCTGATGGAAGGAGGTTTTCACTCAAAATCTGACGATACATGGCCCCATTCATACTTTCTTTTACACGGATCAGTCGACCACCACAACATCTAATCTGTGGCATCTTCATGTGACCTTTATGGGTGCATTCAGGGAAGCTGGGAAATCTGAAAGCCGGAGCTGCTTTGACTATGACACAGTGCTTGTTTGCAGGGTGCATCTGGACCAGTAGGAGAACTGGGTCAAGCGGGCCGCCGCGGTGCCAATGGGCCAAAGGTGTGTCATGTCTTAATGTCTCATGTTTGGAAGAAAACTCTCACCAGGACCAAGCCCTCTATAGTGGCAGGTTCTGGAATAAAATGGTCTTAAACAAATGAAAGAAGTCCAGCTGCCGTCAAACTGGTTCAGTTGTCTGCATTGTGTTTACAAACTGTTCTTTTTGAAGGGTCAACCAGGAGATCCAGGTGACCTGGGTTCTTCAGGACCACTGGGGCCTAGAGGAAGCCCGGTAGGATGCGTTTCTTGTTTGTTGAGGTGTTTTCTGTGACTTTGTGTTTAGGATGGCCTGGTCTGCATTTCAGGGTCAGGATGGCAGAGACGGTTATGGACTGGCAGGACACAAAGGAGCGAAGGTACCGTTCATCTCAAAGAATCAGTCAGACATCAGGAGGTTCTTTCCCTCCTCTGACTTTACTGATGTTTCTCTCTTCACAGGGAGATCCGGGTTTCCCTGGATTCCCAGGTCTCATGGTGAGTCCGCTTCCACTGCAGAATACTTAAAGTTCTGATTCAGACCACATACTCTCAGATCAACCATACTTTATTAGGAGTTTGAATCCTGGGAAGCTGAAAGTTCTGTGTGAGTTCAGAGAAGCTGCAACATCAGAAGGTCCTCCAGCCCTCTGAGGGGGAGGTGGACTATCAGAACATCAGTTCTCCAAGTTTGGGTCCAGCAGACCATCCTGTCCCACAGCTGAAGCTTGGTGTTATTTAGTAGATCAGTAAACAGAACCAGGATGTTTTGAGAAGATCCACTCGCCGATTCAAGTTTATGTTACAGAACCACGCGTGAAATAACACCTTCATTTATTTTGGTTCTGGTTCCTCCTGCAGGGGGAGGATGGGCTGCAGGGACCCAAAGGACTACCGGGTCGCAAAGGGAACCGGGGTCGAGGGGTGAGTGTTGGAACCCCCCGGGTATCAGCAGCAGCACCAGCTTATTAACGTGTGTGTGTGTGTGTGTGTGTGTGTGTGTGTGTGTGTGTGTGTGTGTGTGTGTGTGTGTGTGTGTGTGTGTGTGTGTGTGTGTGTGTGTGTGTGTGTGTGTGTGTGTGTGTGTGTGTGTGTGTGTGTGTAGGGTAACTCGGGCCTAACCGGAGAATCGGGCATTTCTGGAGATCCTGGATATCCGGGTCACGCGGTGAGTGTTGGAGCTAATCCTGATTCAAATTCAAACGGATTCTGACTGAAGAACCCTATCAGAACCAGAACAAGATCCAACAAAAGTTAGAGGCATTGATAGCATGATGTTGTCTGTCTCTGTAGGGTCCTCGAGGTCCTCCTGGAGTCAGAGGCATGACTGTAAGTCCACCTGAGAAACCTGTTAACCTGTACATGTTCACTTCTGCACACACTATCACACCTGTACATGTTATCGTCTGCACACACTATCACACCTGTACATGTTCACGTCTGCACACACTGACACACCTGTACATGTTTACTTCTACACACACTAACACACCTGTATATGTTCACGTCTGCACACACTGACACACCTGTACATGTTTACTTCTACACACACTATCACACCTGTACATGTTCACGTCTGCACACACTGACACACCTGTACATGTTTACTTCTACACACACTAACACACCTGTATATGTTCACGTCTGCACACACTGACACACCTGTACATGTTTACTTCTACACACACTAACACACCTGTACATGTTCACGTCTGCACACACTATCACACCTGTACATGTGCACGTCTGCACACACTATCACACCTGTACATGTTCACGTCTGCACACACTATCACACCTGTACATGTTCACGTCTGCACACACTATCACACCTGTACATGTTCACGTCTGCACACACTATCACACCTGTACATGTTCACGTCTGCACACACTATCACACCTGTACATGTTCACGTCTGCACACACTGACACACCTGTACATGTTTACTTCTACACACACTATCACACCTGTACATGTTCACGTCTGCACACACTGACACACCTGTACATGTTTACTTCTACACACACTAACACACCTGTACATGTTCACGTCTGCACACACTATCACACCTGTACATGTTCACGTCTGCACACACTATCACACCTGTACATGTTCACGTCTGCACACACTAACACACCTGTACATGTTCACGTCTGCACACACTATCACACCTGTACATGTTCACGTCTGCACACACTAACACACCTGTACATGTTCACGTCTGCACACACTGACACACCTGTACATGTTCACATCTGCACACACTAACACACCTGTACATGTTCACTTCTGCACTTATCTGCACACACTGACACACCTGTGCATGTTCACGTCTGCACACACAAACACATCTGTATGTGTTCATGTCTGACACCTGTTCTGTTGTGTCAGGAGTGTCAGCTGGTCACCTACATCAGGGACAACTGTGGTGAGTTTCAGACTCTTTTTAGGTTCTTCTCCAGAGATCTGCAGATCTTCTCTAAATCTCTGAATCTGTTTTCTCCTCACAGCTTGTTCCCACGGTACGTACTTTCTCTAACCAACTCTGACCCATGAGATCAGACCATTTGGTTCTGTCCAAACCTAGAAGCACCACAAGCATGTTCTCTCAGGTCTTTAGTGCTGCAGTGGTTAGTGATGAAGACCCTGATGCCACCAGGAGAACCAGCACATGGAGGTGGATGAGTGAACATGTTTCATTTCAGGATAAGGTGGAACCACTATACTAGGTTCTGGTTCTGGTTCTGTCAGCAGGTGTAAAATCATCACATCCATTCTGATGTAGAACAACTGTTTTCTACCGCTATGGTGTTTGTCGTAGGAGAGTGGGACCAGAACTGAGTCAGGACTAAACAGAGCCCTTATGCGTTGTGTTGGTCTTCAGGTCGCTCCGAGTGCCCGGCCTACCCCACTGAGCTGGTCTTCGGGCTGGACATGTCTGTCGATGTGACACCTGTGGCCTTTGAACGGCAGCGTTCCGCTCTTCTGGCTCTGTTGGAGAACATCAACATTGCAGAAAGCAACTGTCCAACAGGTGCCCGGGTCGCTGTGGTGGGATTCAGCACCTTCACCAAACACCTGATCCGCTTCCAGGATTACCGCCGCAAATCCCAGCTGATCGAGGCCGTGCAGAACATCGCCCTGGAGAGGACGTCCAACAAACGGCACCTCGGTGCTTCGATGCGCTTTGTGGGCCAGAACATATTCAAACGTGTGCGAGCAGGAACGATGATGAGAAAAGTGGTGGTTTTCTTCTCTAATGGAGCTTCTGAGGATGATAATGAGATATTAACTGCCGTTATGGAGTACCGGGCCCAGAACATCATCCCAGCTGTCATCTCTCTAAAAGAGGCTCCTGGTGTTCGTGGAGCCATGCAGGTAGGTCCACAACATCTCAGACAGAACCAAGTTCTGATTAAATCACAGCAGGTAAATTTCGGTCAAAGACTGGGTCCAGAAGCAGGTTCCTGATCTGGTTCTGTTGGCTTCGTCTAGCTGTGACCTTCTCAGGATGTTTCCACTCTTGCAGTTCAGTTCCTCTGGTTCCTCAGGTGGGAACGTTCAGTCTGCTTACTGGTTAGCTTATCTGGAGGCGGGATTACTAGAAGGTTGTATGTTCTGTTCTTGGACTTGTTAGGGTTTGAACTCTTTGTCATGGAGCTCCACTTCAACAGCTGGTGAACCTGAACCATCTGCTCCTTCTCCAGTAACGGAATCTCAGCTGTGGGATGAAGCAAGTTTCATACTGTAGATTACTTTCTATCAGTCGTGACTTAGAGCTGCTGTTTCCTTTCAGGTGGATGACTCCGGGAACTCTATCTTCACTGTTCTGACAAGGCAGCAGAACCTGGCCTCTGATCTGAAGAAAGTCCAGAACTGTGCCATCTGTTATGGTAAGAAGGTCCCTTTAAAATTAGACCAGGACCTCTGAGCCGGTTCATGACTCTTGATCCAGTCCAGAACTCCTTATTCAGGCAAGAAAAGAAGTCAGACATTTATATTTAATAGAACAGACTCAATGAACTTGAAAGACGAGAACCAGGACCTAAAAGATGCTTCGTCCTTCAAAGCTGTTTGGAAATCAGCTGATTGGAGCTGTTTTGTATGTTTTATAGATTCAGCTAAATAATCAGAACCAATAATCAATTTTATCTGTTATCCACATGAAAGATCATTTATTTCCAGCAGCTCTGACTGAACTGTTTTTGCATCATTGTGTCAAAAGCAGAAAGATCTTATAGGACGCAGGTCAGCATGAAGGCAGCATGATGTAGTTTAGAATATTCTGGTAGAGTCCGATCAATTCCAACTGAAAGTTCACTGTTTTATAGTGTTATATTAAAGGGGTAGAAGAATGGAACGCCATGTTTTTCTTGCTGTTGAACAAAGGCAGTATGGGTGGTCAAATTTAGCAGACCAAAAAGTCAGAGCCATGTGTCTCAGCAGCTTTCTAAACTAGTAACCTTAAAAAGGTGACGGAGAAACGTTTCATTCCGAGAAAAGCTGGTTTAACACGCCATAAGTTAGACACGCCTCCTTAAATTATCCTTAAATGCCCCTTTAGGGTCAGCAGTAGCTCAACAGGTTGAGCGGGTTGTCCAGTAATCGGAAGGTTTCAGGTTCGATCCCGGCTCCGGACAGAGAATTCTGCTGTTGTGTCCTTGGGCAAGACACTTAACCCACCTTGCCTGCTGATGGTGGTCGGAGGGCGCCTGTGCTCGGCAGCCTCGCCTCTGCCAGCGCGCCCCAGGGCTACATCGTAGCTCATCCCCACCAGTGTGTGAATGTGTGTGTGGATGGATGAATGATACACTGTAGTGTAAAGCGCTTTGGAGTCCTTACTCTGAGAGGCGCTATACAAGTGTGGGTCATCATCATTTAAATCTGTATGTCCCAGCTCACCAAACTTTCAGCAATATATAAACGCTGGTCGCAGTAATGCTAACAGCAGAACAATGATAGACCACGCTACTGCTAACGCTAGCCTGAGCTACCACTAACAGCCTTGTTGGATCAGAGGAAAATAACAAAGACGACTGTTGGAGCCCAAGGACGTGTTGGGAATATCCAGATTATGAATGATTGCAAGATAGTTCCGTTCCGTTCCGCTCGTGACCTCTTCCTCGTTTGTCTGCAAACCCTCTCTCTACACCTCAGTGAACTGGCACTTTGCAGAAAAATCTCTCTGCAGCCCCGACAGTCACTTTTTCCTTCAATATGCTAATGTTTTAATTAGCTAAACTGATGGTAGTTCTTGGGTGCTAATGCTAATTTTGTGTTATTTTGAGCTAAACTATTCACCAGCGTGTTTAAGTAGCCCAACTTTACCTAGCTGCATTAATGCTTTACAGCAATGTTGAGCCGAGGCTTCTTCGGTACCCTAAATATTTAAGAAACTGCTGAAAAAGCTAACAGCTAGCAGCAGAGCTAACTTTTTGGCAGAGGTGGGTTTTAGAGAACAAGCTCAGAGCAAACACCCACATGGTGCGCGCCTCCAACGGCAGCATGAGTTAGAAGACAGCAGCAGGTCATTTGGCTGCTTTTACTTCTTTCTGCTAACCCTAACCCTTCTTTCTACTAGTGATGGGAATTCCGGCTCTTTTTAGAGAGCCGGTTCTTTTGGCTCAGCTCACCAAAAAGAGCCGGCTCTTTCGGCTCCCAAGTGGCTCCTCAGATTTTCTGTTGCGTACATTTATAACCAAAATAATGCAAAACTATATGTAAAATGATTTACTAATGTAAAAAAATTCAATATATCAAATATTTATCATTTCTATGGATTTGATAACTGAACACTTTAAGAAATCTCCACTTTCTGACTGCTGGCGCTCATTTTCTCACCGTCTTCGTCGCACTCTCCTCTCTCTCTCGCTTGCCTTTTTCCTCCTCCTCATTCCCCCTCGTCTCCCTCCACCCGCATGTGCTCTGCTGTGTGTCTGAGTCTGATCCTCCCTCTTCCCCGCCCCTACTGCTCTGTGTGTGGACAGTCTGGACACGCAGTTACACATGTTGACCAATCGCCTGTGGCTTTCATCAAAGCAAGAGGGGAGGGGGGAGTTGATGAGCCGGCTCCCGTCGTTCACTTCAAAGAGCCGGCTCTTAAGGCCGGTTCGTTTGCGACCGACGCATCACTACAATTTAAACATTAAAGCAGTACTTTTGTGGGAAAATGTGGACCGCCTTATTCAGACCATGTGTGCATTATGAGATATGAGGTGACCTAACTGAACTACTAAATCAAGCAGAGAATGCAGAAAAATCCAAAATTACAGTTTTATAACAGCAAATTTGATCAAATTGATTATTTGGCAGCTCTACCAAATCACCTGGGTGAAAAAAGGAGAAATTATCAGTCTTGGATCCATTCTGGCTCATCCCTTGAGTTAGGAGCCTTTTGTTCCTGAATGTTTGTTTGGATCAGGAGTTTTGTACCAGATTAGGTTTGGTTCTTCACTGCTTGTTTGAACTATATGTGATGAAGTTTCTGATGTTCCTTCAGATCCTTGTAGGTACTCAGAGGCATGCTCCTTCATCCAGGACCCGATACAGCCTCAGCAGGTGGACACAGACCTGGTCGTGGTTCTGGACGGCTCCAGGGAGATGCCGGCGGACCAGTTTATGGGAGCTCAGCAGCTACTGGGCTCTGTTGTGGAGCAGTTAGCTGTGAGTCCTCAGCCCAACCAAGCTGGAAACCGGGCCCGAGTGGCTGTGGTCCAGCAGGCCAAGCTGGAGTTCAACCTGCAGGCCTACCAGAACCAGAACCAGATGAAGAGGTACCTGATCCAGAACATGCGGCAGCAGGGTGGCTACTCAATGCTGGGACGGACTCTAGACTTGGCCCTGAAGGAGGTTCTGATGAAGGCGGTCCGCCCACGCAGGACGAAGGTTTTACTGGTGCTGGTGGCCACCCAGACATCCTTCAGTGATCGGGCCATGCTACAGTATGTGTCCCGGAAGGCCAAGTGTGAGGGCGTGGCTCTATTTGTGGTGACGGTCGGTGACCGCTACAACCGGACCCAGGTGGAGGAGCTGGCCAGTCTGCCAGTCCAACAGCATCTGATCCACGTGGGCCGGCTGCAGGTCAGCGAGCGGGAATACGTCCAGCGTTTCTTCAGAGTCTTCCTCTCCTCCCTGAACAGTAAGAACCAGACCGCTCAGGTTCCGTTCCACCTGCATACCTACAACCTTCAAAACAAGAGTTTAAACTGAAGGTTTTAACATCGTAATTTTAAATAATAACAAAATGAGGGCTACATTAAGTATCAGCAATACTGCAAGCTTTCTAGGTTTTTCATCTTCGTGTTGATTTATAATTAACTAATTGGTTGACCTGATCAAATCTGAGCCCTCATTTATCAACCGTGCTCACACACAGATCTGTGTGTGTTTCATGCGTAGAAGCTATTTCATGCACTGGTTGCTATTTATCATTTTGTACTTGTGTGTAGAAATATTCCTAAATATAAGAAAATCTCAGACCATGCATACAAACAGCATCTAGTGGTAGAACAGTGGAACTACAATACTGAAGGTCTCGGTCATCCACGCATGTTCCTCATCCACAAAGTATTTTACCCAACAAGTCGTTGTGTCTGTAGAGAAACACCAATATCACATAATTGGTGTTAGAATAAGAAGAATAAACAACTTTATATAGCGCCTCTAAAGATGAAAATCATAAGGTGATTCACAAATTAAAAATAAAACTATAAAAATGATTAATATCATAATAAAAATGAGCAAAAGGAAAAATATTTAAAAACGTGAAGAAGAAATGGAATAAGAAAAATGAAATCACAAGAAACCGAAAAAGACAGAATTGGTAGAAACTGCAGCATGAAAAGAAGCCAGTGAGGAAGAAGAGGAAGTTCAAGTGAACTCTGAAGTTAACCAGCAGCTGGTGAAGCTGGAAGAGAAGAGAAGTGACGTGGGCGTGCTTGGACGATTTGGTCAGAAGCCGAGCACAGGCTTTCTGAACCACTTGTTAACGATACAGGAAGGTTTTGATCAGACAAGTGAAAAGTGAGTTGCAGTCTAATCGTGAGGAGATGGAGGTGTGGATAACGATTTCAAGCTCAGCGCATGACAGAACAGGACTTAATTTAGCAATTAGGACCTATAAAAGACACCTGTGACTGACAGGAATTTGACACTGTAGCATGGCTGATCATGTGTTATTGGAGGATTTGGCAGAGCGTGCACTCCGGAGGGAATGTGTCTTCTGTGAGCGCACTAGTCTGGTGAGAACAGGCTCCTGAGAAGATACTGCTTCCTGACGGAGATCCTTCTGGAGTTACAGACATGGACAAACCCACAATGGTCACAGAAATAACTTGAATCTGACAAAAGTCACAATAAATTAAAAATTCTATGAAATTTAACCAATGGAAGTCAGACATTGCTTTTTAACCATTCTACAGTTGAATTATTTGAAGTAATGGACTCATGAAAGAGGCCTGGACAAAAATGATGGTACTCTAACTTAATATTTTCCAAGTCAATCACTGCAGTCAAACACTTTCTGTAATGGTCAATGAGACTTCTGCACCTCTCAGCAGGTATTTTGGCCCACTCCTCATGAGCAAACTGCACCAGCTGTCTCCGGTTTGTGACTCATTGAAGGCCACTTTAGAATAGACCAGTGTTTTCCTCTTAGCCATTCTTGGGTGTGTTTAGCTGTGTGTTTTGGGTCATTGTCCTGTTGCACAAACCATGACCTGCGACTGAGACCAAGCTTTCTGTCACTGGCCAGGACATTTGTTTCTACAATCCTTTGGTCATGTTAATTTGTTTTGAATTGTCAGGATCTGACTGGGACTGAGCAGACAGAAGCGCGAGTTTTGATGTGGCATGTTGTTATGACCCAAGTGCGGGATGACTGGGTTTGGACACGTTAATATAGGAACCACAGCACGCAGCTCGAAGGGAGACCAGAGTATGCTGCGGTCCAGAATAATGGAAAGGACTTAGAGGATGTCGACAGGACTGGTAACGGACAGACTGGGTTGGAAAGCTCTGGAAACGATTCTCATGAGTGTCTAGAATGCTGATTGAAATGAAGCAAAATGATGACTGAGCAGAGACGCTGACTTCCTGATACACTCCCGCTCCAAAAATAAATTGTGAAAAAATAAAATGGACATAACTAAAAGAAAAAGTCAAATGCAGATTAGTTCATAAACTTTAATAATCATGTATTAATCAATATGAGCAGAGTTTAATCATCACTGCAGATGAAATCGAGAAAAGTTCTAGTCAGCTTTTATTTATTACTTTTGTTCTGGTTCCTGTAACGTTATGAAGACCAGATCAGTCTGAACTTTGTTTTTCTGGATGTTTCAGAGGGAATAAATTCATATCCTCCTGCTGCTGTCAAATCCATCTGTGAGGAGCTAGGTGGCCAACAGACTGGTTTCACTGGGTTGGACCAAGAACAGACTGGTTTCACTGGGTTGGACCAAGAACAGACTGGCTTCACTGGGTTGGACCAAGAACAGACTGGTTTCACTGGGTTGGACCAAGAACAGACTGGCTTCACTGGGTGAGTTCAACACAAGACAAAGGTCATTTTAGTAGAATCTTGACTTATCATTTAAGAACTAATCAAAGTAAAATGTAAAGAAATGCAGATCTGAGGTTAAACAAGACTGGATTAGAGTTTAAACAGGACCAAATCAAGGTTTAAACAGGACCAGATCAGAATTTAAATAGAACCAAATTGAGGTTTAAACATGACCGGATTAGAATTTAAACAGGACAGGATCAAGGTTTAAATAGAATCAGATCAGAGTTTAAACAGGACAAAATCAAGGTTTAACCCTCCCACTGTCCTAATGGTTGTGACCCCGCAAGGAAAGTTGACCATTGAGCAGGATTGATGGTTTATCCCTTGAGGTCCATGTGGCAGGGGTGAGGTGGTGGAGTGAGCACCACCTCACCCCTGCCACATGGACCTCAAGGGATAAACCATCAATCCTGCTCAACGGTCAACTTTCCTCACGGGGTCACCCATAAAGACAGTGGGAGGGCTAAACAGGACCAGATCGGAGTTTAAACAGGACAGGATCTGAGATTTAATCAGCTCCTGGATCTCTGGGACTTGGAGCTCCGTCCATCTCCTCTGCATCTTTGGGGGGCAGATCTGTGGCCCCTCACACTCTCTATTGGACAATCATATAGAGAAACCTTACATAAACAAGCGCATGTACACACACAGGTGCCCACATGGTGCTCTCATAAGTATGGACTTGGGCACGTTCAACACACGTCTTAAGGCTGTGGTTGGCACTAAATGCACTACGATTTATTATCGTGATTGTTCAATAAAACAATGTTGATTTTACATTTCTTCATCAGGTTGACGCAGTGATAGCTTGCTCCAGTTGTATTGTTGTGTGTCCCTTTTCTGCAGGTCTAGAAGCAGACTCTTGTTCTTCATTGATTGTTTTTTTTTGGGGGGGGGGGGGGGGCAAGTATCAGGCGTGACATTAAAAGCAGATGCTTTGATGCTCCACCTGAGAGTAAAATCTGTCAGACTTGTCACCAGCATTCAGACATTAATCCTGTTTGCTTCACAGCCAGACAGGACACGGGGGAAAAAATAATTTAAAAAGAAAAAAACAAATAACAGGACCAGATCGGAGTTTAAACAGGACCAGATCGAGGTTTATCAGGACCAGGTCTGGGATTTAACAGTCCCACATTTACATTTCTAGTTTGTTCTGTAATGGAAGCTGGTTTGGGGTTTAATGGTGACCCACATGTGGTTCTGCTGTGTGTCCAGTCAGGGTTTTGTGGATCTTGGTGAAATCATCAGAGATGAAGAGCAGAAGACATTCTTGGAGCTGACAGGTCAGCAGACTCGGATAGACCAGATGGACCTGATCAAGATTACAAGTCCAGAAGAGAGCCCAAGATCCATTTCTGGAGTAAACATAAATGGTAGTCCACACGCCGTCAGTCTGGTTCTGATAGCAGACAGAACCTGCAGCAGCTCCTCCCCGTTACTCTTCATATGTTTGTTGCTTGGCCTCTTTCAGCTGCACGTGGTTCTTATTCTGAACCTTTCAGTGTTGTCTGCTCTGAGCTCTTTGTCTCTCGTCTAAATGTGTGTGTTCTGCTTGCAGCCCGGTGTCAGCTGGATTCTGATTCTGGTACCAGGTGTTCTGACTTTGTCCAAATGTGGTTCTTTGACAAACACATTGGGTCATGTTCTCCGTTCTGGTTTGGTGGCTGTGGCGGCAACGCCAACCGCTTTCACACAGAGCAACAGTGTTTCCAGACCTGTGGACTCCAGAGTAAGTCTGATCAGAACCTCACCAACCCAATCAGAACTTCATCAACTTGACTTGAGCCAATTTAAAATTCCTTTCATTTGGCTTGAAAGCTTTGAGAACAGAACCAGTTCCTAGCCAGCTGGACCAGCTGCTGTCACCGACTCGCCTGCATGAGTCTCAGCTTTCTGTCTTTCCCCTGGTCACACACCTCCTGGTTTACCTGTCACTTACACCTCACCTGTTCATTGTTAGACCATGAAGCTCCTTAGAGCCTGTAACCATGACGACAGCTGTAACTGTGATTGCAGGCGGGGATCAGGACGAAAGCTGCAGCGACGCAGACCTGACCTGCCTTCCTCTTTTGTCTCACAGGTTCCAGCATGAAGCTGCAGGCGGAGCGCAGCGACTTCGACGCCAAAGGTAAACGTCTCACTGGGGTTTGAGTTCTAGGGTTCTGGTCTCTACTGAGAAAATGGGTCAGAACCAGCCAGTTTGACCAGTAGCAACTAAACCTTCATCACTATGGATTTTCTTTCTGCAAACATTCTGATGGAAGTAAAAATAAAATCCCTGGACTTTGATGGGCAGATCCGAGCTTTACCAGGATCCACTGTGATCGGATCAGTTCCTGTTTGGGATGACCTGGATTAAGTTCAGGATCAGGGATCACACTCCTGACGCTTGCTGGTGTAAGGTTTATTCAGGTGTTCTGGAGAGGAGGGTCCATCGGATTGTCAAACCTCAGATTCAGGAGCAGCAATGTGGTTTTCATTCTGGCCGTGGAACACTGGACCAGCTCTACATCCTTAGGGAGTCCTGGAGGTTGTGGATGAGTTCGCCCAACTAATCTACATGTGCTTTGTGGATTTTGAGAAGGCGTTCGAACGCATCCCTCAGGGGCCCTTTGGGAGGGTACTCCACCATGAGTATGGGTACCAGGCCCTCAGATACGGGCTGTTGGGTCCCTGTTAGGTCCCGGTGTCAGAGCTTGGTCCGCATTGTCGGCAGTAAGTCAACAAAGGCTGCCCTTTGTCACCGATTCTGTTCTTAACTTTTATGGACAGGATTTCTAGGCACAGCCAAGGTGGTGAGAGGATCTGTTTTGGTAGCCTATGAATCAGGTCTCTGCATTTTGCAGATGTTAGTCCTGTTGGCTTCATCAGACCGGCTTTTGCTGGAGCGGTTTGCAGCAGAGTGTGAAGCAGCAGGGATGAGAATCAGCTCCTCTAAATTTGAGAACACGGTCTTGAATTAGAAAAGGGTAGGATGTCTTCTCCAGGTCCAAGTGGCTAGGGGGAGGGAAGTCTTATCCCTTTACACAACTTGACCCTGGATAAGCGGAGGAAAATGGATGGAAGTACAGAATTAGTCCTGTAATTTTCTTGTTGGAGTGAGATGATGTCACTGTGATGCTTCTGTCTCCATCTCTGTCCAGGTTCCTGTCTCCTCCGTCAGGACCCCGGCAGCTGCCAGGACTACACCATGAAGTGGTTCTTTGACACAACGCAGAGGGAATGCGCTCGGTTCTGGTACGGCGGCTGTGACGGCAACGACAACCGCTTTGATACGCAAGAGGAGTGTGAGAAGATGTGTGTAATGAAGAGTTGATGAGGAGGAGCATAGTATCAGCTGATCACTGTGGGATCTGGTACCGGAGCAGCTAAATGAATCTCACCATACTGAGTCGCTTCTTGAACATGCATGTTTGGTTCTATGGAAGCCCTGAAGGTTCTAAACAACCACCGGTTCAGGAGTTTCCTTGGATTCAAGTGAAGTACTTGTTTAGTCTGAAGACCGGCCCGAGATCCACCCCTTTGTTTGAACTCTGAGTTTTTTGTCTGTTTGGCTCTAGCTGATCTCAAAGACCTGCAAGAAGATCCAGAACATTTCCTGGACTAGTTCAGAACCTCTGAAGTCCACTTTGGTCCCCTGCTAACGACACCAAAACCACAACCACTATGCGGGTCACAGACTCAATTCAACTACGCTGTGTCTTCATCGCAGACCACCAGAACCGGTCCTGCAGGTTTCAGATGGTTCCTGATTCTAAGAGATCACTTCATGTTCAGATGAATCCAGTTATTTAAATCTGGTATCACCTAAAACCTGCTGGTCAGTAGACTCCGATGACCAGGACCCGGAAACACTGAGCTCAGACCTGACCAGACTCACTCAGACCTAATCAGACCCATTTGGTTCCAGACTGAGAAACCTTCAGCAGGAACAACAAAACACCAAAACCTTGACTCGCATTAAATGTGACGTATTTATTACTGGTTCGGAGGTTCTGGTCCGACCAACTTACAACCCGTTTCTGTGAATCAGAGAAATCGGAAAACATGACGTGACCCTTCAGTGCCTTTGTACTCCTGAGCACTTCCTGTTCCTGGGCTCAACTTCCTACTGGACATGAACTCTTCCCAGTCACGTGTTTCCTGTCATGAAATCAGGTGGATGTTTATAGAAGGAATCAGCTGATATTAAAGAGTTTATCAACAGCGTCTGAATCTTATTTTATTAAAGATGGATCAAACTCTGACCCGGTTCCTAATGTGAGATGTTTCGCACCTCTCCACCCTGCAGCCTGGGTTTCACTTCCCCCACATTTTAAACTTAGCTTCTTTTGAAGAAAACTGTTTTTATTCAGTATTTTAGCCTGAAATAAATGCACCAGAAAACCTACAGAACCAAGTTCTGATGGAACCTTCGGGTTTGTTTGGAGTTCTGATTTAAAACCATCCAACTGAAGCAGAACAAGACCAACAGGTGAGTTCACAATAAACACTCATCTGATTGGTTAGAGCTGAGAGTGACCGACAGCAGCTACGACCAATCAACTGAAGGTCTTTCCCATCAGACCCCTGGATGTTCATCAGGTAGGTTCTGCTAAAACCGAATCAAAGTAGAGGCTCCGCCCTGAGCAGTCTAAATGTTGTAAACAGCAGCTAGTTATCGGAGGGGGAGGGGCATCAGGTGGGGGAGGGGCATCAATCAGCAGCAATCTGCAGTCATCAGTTTTTGAGTTTTATGTAAAAAAAACAAATTTAGACTCCAAATGTTCGTTCCAGTTTCACTTCCACACTTTGACGATTCCATCTCTGGACGAGGTGACGATGAATCCCTGTGTGGTCTGGAAGGTGGCGATGTCCGTGATGATGTCATGGTGTCCAACAGGAAGTGACTCAAGGCCGTGGCGAGGAGAGTCCTCTGGAGCTCCGCTCTTCTGTTTACTGTGGATCTCCTGCAGAGTAAAAAGTTACGAGGTCACACCAGCCATGTGTGTGTGTGTGTGTGTGTGTGTGTGTGTGTGTGTGTGTGTGTGTGTGTGTGTGTGTGTGTGTGTGTGTGTGTGTGTGTGTGTGTTACCTGGACCACCTCGGTCCCTTCGATGATCTTGCGGCTGTAGAGGACAGATGGACAATGCAGCGAGTCGTTGGCTCCTCCAGCCACAATGTAGGACCTCTCTGGATAGGCCAAGTCCCAGAACCTGAGCAGAACCAAACCATGGTGGTAAAACCTGCTGAGCGCATGTTGTTTTTGTTTTGTTGTTGTTGTTTGGCTCCCACCTGATCCTCATGTCAGACCCAGCCGTCAGCAGTAGAGGGTTCCCTTCAGCAGGACTACAGTAGATCCCGTGGACGCTGTGAGGCGACGGCTGCAACGCAAACAATCAGTTACCGTGGAAACAGAGCCTTCCCAGATGTGTTCCGTCAGGGGTCCAACTGAGACTCAATTCTTTGGTTCAGACACATAAGATCCAAAATGATACAAAATAGAAATCTGGTGCCCTAAAGCAGAGCTGGGGAAAAACTGGGAGTTGATTCGGGTTCTGGACTTGAACGGGTTCTGAGCTCTGCTGATTTTCAGCTCCAGTCAGAACCTTTTCTTACTGACCTGCATCTCAGAAAGCGGCGGCGCCGAGCTGGCCCAGAGCGTGAACTTCCGATCACCGGTCTCCATGTCCCAGATGGACACCTCGTTGTTTCCCTGGACCGCTGCAGAGACAGAACCACACAGCTGACGAGGACTTTCACACCAAACGCTGCTCAGGAGAACCGGAACAGTTCTGACCTGCAATCACAGAGGACTGGTACAGCGGGTGCATCAGCAGCCTTCGGACCCGCGCCCGGGCCGGGTGGGAGTGGTTTGAGATGGGGAGCTGAAACCGCATATCCCAGCATGCCATGATGCCGCTGCTTGTACCTGCAGGACACAAGAACCGTGGCCCGTTTTTAGGTTCTGGACATATTTGATACAAAACTTATGATCTGGTCTGGACCCAAAAGTCCTGTACAGACCTAGGCATAGCCAGCACTGGTGCATGTCCACACTGAAGGATGTGATGAGTCCATGTCGAAGGTCATGACGTAGTGTCCAGGCGTTGGAGTTGGATCGGAGGTCCCAGCCCACCAGTGACCCGTTAACGGTGGCATACGCCAGAACCGACTGGGCTCCTGAGTTAAAGTGATGGATATCCACGGCGCAGCCATCCTCCTGAAGGTCCAGAGACCTAGAACCAGACAGAACCAGAGACACACATCAACGTTTGTTCAGATAAAAATCACCCAAAACCAAAACAGATCCCAAGAACTCTCCTGGAAGCAAACAGAGAACAGAACCAGATCAGAGTCAGACCTGATCACCTCTGGGTCAGCATGAGGCAGAGCTGGGTTCAAGGGTCAAGTCAGTGGGGTTCTAATTTGTTGGGTTCTAGTTAGTGAGGTTCTAGTCAGTTGGGTTTTAATCAGTGAAAATCTAGTCAGTTGGGTTCTAGTCGGTGGGGCTCTAGTTGGGTCCTAGTTAGCGGGGGTTCTAGTCGGGGGGCTCTAGTCAGCAGGGTTCTAGCTGGGCTGGCTCTGGTACCTGGACTGAAACGGCTGGACTTTGGGAGACTTTGGGGGCTTGTTTGCTTCGACGGAGAGCAGCTGGATGGATCCGTTATCTGAAGCCACGGCTAGGTAGTGAGAACCCTGGCAGAACGTCAGCGTCTTCACGTGACCTCCAACCCGAGAGTACGTCAGTACAGACCTGCAAATAGAGAAGTAGAAGAAGAGAACATGTGACTCCGGTTCTACTCCTAGTTCCACCACCTCAGCATCAAGGTTCGACAAGACGTTCAGAGAGAATGTCGTGTATGAAGTGAACCTGCATCCAGGAGGGCGGAGCCTGTTTCTGAAGACTCACCTGGTGGTCGTGGTTTTCCCCTCCATCTTCTGACTGTCCCAGACTTTGACGGATCCATCGTTGGAGGCCGTGGCGAAGACGGCGTGTTCGTCAGACACTTGGATTCGGTTAACAGCAGCTTTGTGTTCATGCAGGTGAGCGACCAGCAGACCCTTCGGGTGCCACCCTGGAACACAAGTCTCTGTGAGAAGTCGGGTCCAGCTGCGCCTGCAGCCAGGTGTGTCTACAGCAGGTTACCTGGTGGGGGTGGGCGGCTCTCCCACTCAGCGCTCTCCATCATCTGCTTGGCCATGCGCTCAGCGCTGCACTGCTCCCTCTTCTGCTGCACCAGCTGCTGAAGCTCCACCTTACAGGTATTGATGCGCCGCTGGTAGGCGGGGCCACTTGCCACTGTCTGTGCGGCGGGCGCCACCGGAGCCGCTGTCTTCTTCATCTGAGTGACAGAGCCATCAGGGGCCTGGAAAAAGAGTAAAACAGGAAATCAGCTGACTGGGGGGGTGGAGGCTGTTGTGAGTGTGTTGTGTTACCACTGCCGGTTGTGCGCTTGGCGGTTCCTGAGACCCAAACATGCTCCTCCACTCCTCGTTCATCATGGCGTCCTGCTTGGTTTGTTTCCTCGCTGCAGAAACACAACATATGGTTACAGGTTCTGACCCAACAGAACCAAAACCAGACCCGCCTACCTCTCTTGTCATCTGCCTCCGCTTTGGGCTTGACTAGGTCGACCTGTCGCCCGGTGATCCCAAGCATGGCCAGGTCGATGATGCCGGTTAGCCCCGCCTCTCCCAGGTGACCCGGGTCGCCCATGTTGGCTTTGGCCTTGTTGGACTTTAGCATGAAGTCCTTGAGGGCGAGCAGCTTGTCCTCCTCTGCCTCCGTCATGCCCTGATCAGAGCCGCAAACAGAAAAAGGTAAGGAGACCAGCAGGAGAACCACGACACCGACCTGATGATCCAAACCTTCACTGCATCAGGTCTCTAAACCCAAATGAGAACTGAGGAGCGGTTCCACTTAGAGCCACGATTTAAGTCGCTTTTGTCTAAATTTCCTCTCATTGGTTTTGTTTTGTCAGATTTATTGACCTGAAAGTTCTCCGGGAGCATTTTTGATCAATCAGGTCAGAGCAGTGGTCCGTCTGCTGGGGGGCAGCAGGAGGTTCTGACCTGAGACAGCAGCTTCTTGAGGAGCTGAGCGATGGCCGGGTCATCGGGAGTCGGACACTCGGGAATGGAACCCGCCCTCTTCTTCTGGCGCAGAAGCAGGTGTCGGAAGAGGCTAGCGATGTCTCTGGACCGCAGCGCGTAGTCAAAGATGGAGCGACTCACCGGCTCCTTCAGGACGCTCAGCAGAACCAGCTCCTTATCAATCTGAGGAGGAGACGTCTGGTTGTGAGGAGACGGGTGAGGAGTGGGAGTGAAGATGAGGAGGGCGAGGACTCACCTGGATGATGGGCTGCATGATGAAGGCGTTCAGGTGAGGCATCAGTTTGCAGTAGATGTCAGCCACGTTGAGGTTCTGAGCAACGATGGTGATGAAGCCAACCGCCCCGTAGCGGATCCACAGGTTGGGGTGACACAGGAAAGGAGCTACGGAAAGCAGAGGAACAAAAATCATCAGCCCTCCACCACCGTGCTGACAACTGTCCATTATGGGTGTATGTTGGTCCAGAAAACCTTTAGTTTGATCAGGTGAAACCTTTGTTTCTTTAGAGTGAAAATATCAAGTAGACCCCACCAAGGCCACGACCCCTGACCTTACCAATGTCGCTGACGAACTCGTAGATGTGCGGTTTCTGCAGCAGGCCCAGCTGACACATGCAGGTGAGGGCGTTCAGAGCTTTGTAGATGACAAACTCCTCGGTGTCGCTCAGACCCTGCTGCAGGAGCGGCTTCAGGATGGATGAGCTCTGCCAGCCCACGTAGGCCGCCACACCTTCAACGTAACAACACAACAGCGCTCACGCCCGGTTCACACACCTGTTCCCGAGAACCAGATCAGGTTCTTACCCACGATGCTGTCAAAGAACGCCCCCCGCAGGTGCCAGTCGTTCTTATCGTTCAGGAAGGTGATCATGTGGGACAGCAGGACGTCGTTGGCTTTCTGTCTGCCGAAGAAAACGCAGAGGCGCGTGATGCCGTTTTCCATCAGCGACTGTTTGACGATGTTCTCCGAGTCGCTGAGCAGCGTCACCACCTTCTGCTGCACCATCTCATGCAGCGCCTGCAGCTCTGGATGCCAAACACACAGCAGTTTTACTGCACACACTCACTCTCACACACACACACACACCAGGAGAATAGTACCTGAGTCGTAATTCTCATTGGGGTGGTTGGTTTCCTCTGTGTCCTCTCCACTCAGGTCCTGTTCCGTGTTCACGTTGTTCTCCTGAACCAGCTCCAGGAACCGCAGCGCGCTCTCTGCCAGGTGGGCAATGTTCTCTAGAGAAGAGAAGGAGGACCAGAATGGAACTGAGGAACAGAGAGGACAAAAACCTCCCTCTGTGTCGACTGGAGGTTCCAATAAAGCCTTGAAGGTCCTCACCTGCATACGCCAACCTGACGATGGTGGCATCATCCTGAGCCAGGTGAGCAATGCCCGGCAGGATGTACTCCGGGTAGATGTTGATGTCATTTCTGGGCACCTCCTTCACCAGCGCCAGAACCTTGGTGAGTGTTCTGATGGCCTGTGCGCGCACACGAGGCATAGGGTCGCTGCAGAAGTGCAGCAAGTACGGCGTGATGCGGTCCAGCAGGATATCCACGCCGAGCTGCGGCGCCAGGTGCAGGGTGAGCTCCAATGCGGCCAGCTTGGAGTCACAGGAGTGCAGCGTCTGCAGGCAGGAGGTGATGACGGAAACCAGCACCACAAGACCCTGCTCCTCCTGGGGGCGTCCTACTCCTTGGCTGCCGTCCTGGGATGAAGAGGAGGAGGAGGAGGAGGAGCCTGCAGAAGAAACTCATTTAGTTCTGATGTGAGGAATAGAAACAACCCCCTCGTCAGAAACCTCCCAGATGTGTGAGGGAGACCAGGGGACACTCACCTCCTCTCAGGTTGTGCAGGATGTTGTCAAGGTCTTTGCGTATGATGAGGACCCGTTCATCTGCAGACTGGAAGGTCTCTTTGGCAAATTGGGCCATGTACGGCTGCAGGAAGGTGTAGAAAATGTCAGGGAATGCTTTTCCTCGCTGCCGTTTCAGATATTCCTCGGCCGACAGACGTTTCTCCGGCTCCCGCTGAACCATCTGAACCACCTGAGGAAGGACATGCACCGCGTTTACTGTTCCTGCTGCTGAGAGTCTGAGAGAAAGCTGCGAGTGCCGATCGCTACCAGCTCTCTGATGCTCTGATCCTCGATCTTCAGGAGGACCTGCTCTGCCTGGAAGTGGCCTTTCCGATACGCCAGCAGCTGGGACAGATCGAAGAGAGGAACGCCCTCGGTGAACAACTCAGCAATCACACAACCTGAAAAGACACAGAGTCAAAGTTGAAGTGTTCTGGATCAGAGGTTCTCTAGAGTTTGGAAGGCTCAGCCTCCAGGTTTGTGCACCTGCAGAGAAGATGTCCATGGCCTGCTTGAGCTCTCCTCGGCTCCTCTGGTTGTTGTTTGTCAGGTCCACCAGCGGTGTGTTCTGGTCGCTCTCGGTGGTAAACATGCTTCCATCAACAAACCTCTCTGGAGCAACGTAGCACGTTCTACGTCTGGACGTGTCGAAGAAGTAGTTAAAGTCGGCGGGGTTGTCCTCTGGCAGGTAGGTGGGCTTGAAGCTGGCAAAGTCAGTGAGCAGCACCCAGTTCCAGCTGGTCACCATCACATTCTCCGTCTTGATGTCTCCATGGCGGACACCGGCCTTGTGCGCCTGGTCAACAGAGTTGAGGATCTGGAAGGCGATCCAGCGCTTCTCCACATTGTTAAGAAATGGCCGAGTACTGATACGGTCGTACAGGTTGTCCCGGACGTACTGGCGAAAGAGGATGGCAGCCTTCTCCGTCAGGGAGGTTTTCTGGAAGGGCAGACAGTTCTGACAGGAATGCAGGCGGATCTTCAACTCCTCCAGCTCCTGTTTGTAGCTGGTCAGAGGAAGTGACGGGTCTTGGATGGCAAACACCTTCACCACCACAAGGCCCTCCCGGTGTTTGGCCCGGGCCACCTTGAAGAATCGGGTGCTGCCCAGACTTTTGTCGTATTCATGGTCATGGATGTCTGAGAAGTAGCTGTCCACAGAGAGGATCTGAGAGGGGGCGATGCCGGCCAGCTGGTTCCCCATCAGGACACGTCTGGGAAAAGAAGGAAACAAATGGAAATGTTTTAAACTTAAATTGACTCACTAATCCACATCAGAGATTCAGAACCTGCTGGTTTCAGCAACATCTGTTTCTGATCAGAAATCAAACAGCTTGACAGAAGGGATCAGTAGAGCGGCACCAGAAATCCAGCTGCTGGTCGGGATTGGCCAGTTTGCATCAGAGATGGATAAAGTGATCGACCAATTAGACACCCTGAAATGTGATTTTGTTCATTTCAGGTCTGTGAACTAAGCAATTAAAAATGTAATGTCCTTAGCTTGAGCTACAATCTTTTGTGGTTGATGAACTCACCACCTCTGAGCCACACACACACACACACACACACACACACACACACACACACACACACACACACACACACACAAAGATCTGCAGGGCCAGAATGTTCACGTTCAGCAGACATTTTTTTAATTGATAATTAAATTTCTTTAGGATAAACGGTGTCATCCTTCTGAACCAGGATCGGTGCTACAGAACCGATACAGAACAACACATCACAGATTCACAAAAACACACTGCTTGTGCTGGATCAGGTCTAAGGGGTCTCTCAGGGTCCAGCAGGGAACTAGGCTACATGAACAGGTCCACACCAAAACCCAGATCGAGCAGAATCTAACATCTGGGTGTAACAACGCGGTAAACTGTAAACAGCTGTTAGCACGAGACAAACCTTTAAACAATTCAGACCCGTCACCAGACACCTGACAGACGTTCAGGGATGCTGCGGATCACGGAACCGTGGTACTGTTAGCTTCAGTCCGAACGTTTTCGCGGTTCAATCGGAGTGAGACTTTAGCCTTTAAGCTACCGTATCATGGATATCTTCCATGTTCCGGTTAGGTTAATGTAACCGTTCGTAAAACGCAACACAAGCTGCGCAACACACGTAGCCTTCGGGCTAACCGATTAGCCCTTTTCAGCTGTTGTTATGAATCCGGGTCACGATTACCAGAAGTGTCCTAAACCTTAAGGTGTGCTTCCTGTTGGTCAAACTGGAAAAGATCGTCTATTGTAGAGATGATGCAATCCGTGAAACAATATTCAGCCCTTAGCCATACATCTCTCACGCAATGACCGTAGAAAAAGGTTTCACTAAAATAAATTCTGTTTGTGTAGCACAGTAAGTAAGGAAATTGTATTTATATAATCCTCATCACAGACAGAAAATCACAGTGCTTCACATAGATAGATAAAGTCATTAAATCATAATGATCTTAAAACAGAAATACGTTAAAATTAGATAAACAAAATCATAAAATCATAAAATAACATAAAAAACGAAAGACGATTACAAATTTGAGTTAAAAATAAGAGAATAAAAGATTCTGGTAAAAGCAGCTTTAAATAAAAGGGTCTTCAGCTGTTTTTTAGAAGTGTCCTGACTGTCGATAGTAAGGATAAAGGAAGATAATTCCAAAGTCGGGATGCAACAGCCTGGAAGGAGCGATCACCACAACTTTTATATCTGGTCCTTGCGCAGCAGTGAATATTATCTTTTAAATAATCTGTAAGTGACTGCTGGAACCAAATATATCCCATTAACTCACACATTTGGCTCATCCATAGAGTTAAGATATTTTCTCCAGTTTTGTTCATAGCACAGAGAGAGGGAGAGAGAAAATGATCCAAACAATGTCCAAAAAGTTGGCTGGCCTCATTGGAAGCGAAATGTGAATTAATTTGAACTGAACTTTTAATCATATTCTGCAAATTTCCATATTTTTTCCGGTATCACACTTTTCCGTTTTATTTTGAAATCTGCCGGAAGTACCACCGCGCTCCAACCCACTCACTGAAGCTAACATGGTGGACTCTGTCCTCTCCATGGGAAACGCTTCTCGGTGGGATTTCGCGGAAGATGCTGAAGAAACGGGAGCTATTGGTAAGTTTGAGTCGTTTTTACTTAGTTTTAGAGATGACGACATTCATCTGCCACAATGAAAATCACCTTAGGTAAAACAAAGGTCATTTTTAGCGCTAATCTGAAAGCTCCCGCGGCGGTTTGTTTGATTTGCTTGCTTGAGTGGAATGCTGTTTTTGGCTGTTAGCCCGCTGCTGTCACCGGAGACAGGACGGTACCGGCTGTGAGGTGGACGTTTCTGTCTGCTGACATAATTTCTGATCTAATTATCCTCTGTTGTTTGTCCGTGTTTTGATTCACTAAAACGGGTGGCTACGATTTTGTTGGGGTAGTGTATGTAGCTAACAAGCTAGCCGATGCTAACATGAATTAGTAACATCCGTAAAGCTTCGGCAGGTGGCGGTCAGGTTTCCTTCCGTCTGATTCAGGTGAGTCTGCCAGCTCCTCCCCTCCCCTCCTCTGGTGAACCCGGATGTGTCAGGTAATGAGCCCAAGCTAAGGATGTCATTAACGATTCTTACAGGGAAAATAAGTCCAAAGACCTTTATTTATACTGTTTAACAGTGTTGGGAATGTTTACTTTAAAAAAACGAACTAGGTCAAAGTTCAGTTCATACATTTCAAATCGAACTAGTTCGTGTCTTGTTCATAATTAAAAAAAATTGAACTCATTTCACTGTTTCAAAAACTAACTAGTTCATAGTTCTGTTTTGTTCTCTCTCTCTCTCTCATCTATCTATCTATCTATCTATCTATATCTATCTATATATATATATATATATATCTATATATATATATATATATATATATATATAACCAACCAAACCAAATAAATGAATGATCATGTTACATTTGGTTGAAAATCAGACATAATAAATGCGTTGTAAAGGCCTTAGTAGGAAATAGTTTGTTCCACAGCAAAGTCTTGATCTCCATAATATAGAGCATTGAACTCTATGCAGACCTGACCTGAGTCAGGACAAAACAGGACAGAGACAGTTTTACCGTCTCTGCTACGAGATAGTCTGAAGGGCCACTTCAGGTATTAGTTGTTCCTCACCTGATATGAATCAGTGATTAACAGGGTGAAGACGATCTAAACAGGTGATTCAGATTAGAACTCTGACTAGACATCACTGTACCAAAGTGCTTGTTAGAAGTTGGGCAGAAACAAGTGAACTAATTATATTTTAATAGTTCTGAAAGACAATGGTGGTGGTGTTTATGATCCAAACTGAGTGCACTGCATTTTAAAGCTGTTGTAGCAAATCTTCAAATAAGCTAGTGTTTGAACTAGGGTTGTCACGGTATGAAAATTTAACCTCACGGTTATTGTGACCAAAATTATCACGGTTTTCGGTATTATCGCGGTATTTTTTAAACGGTGTTGCATATGTTCAGAAAGCATTGATAGTCCTGTTCTACACAAACTGAAATAGTTCTGAAAAGGTTTAACAGTGTTTATTAAACCTAAAATAACACAAAGCCTTAGCAAAAGTGCAACTTTTCACAAGTAAAGGAACAAATAGCTTATTTTTCTGGAACATGTTACAGTAGTCAGTGCAGGTTTAAATTATACAAATCCAAACATTCAAAACATAAACAATATGTAAACAAATCAAAGAAACACCACTTGTTTTCTCATATACTTGTTTTCTTCATTATCAAAATGAAAATCTAAAACTCCAGTCCACACTTGACTTGAGCACTGTACAAGTCAACCTTAAAAAAATATGTATTTAAAACAAATAGCCACTTTAAACAAATTACTAAAATAACTACTACACTATGTAATCAAATCCAAATGTTCAAGTATAAATGGCATTGAATAAGTAAACAAATCAATGACAAGGAACTAATTGTATATTTCTCTTCATCATCAACAAATAAGATGCTTCATCCAGCAACAGGGTGTCCGTGACACGGTTTAAATGCTGGCAGAGGACGCTGCGGCTGCAGTATATAGTGACTCGTTGCATTCTCCCTCAGCCAAAAGTCCTCACGTCATGCATTTAAGCTAAAATGCTAATGTTAACTTACCTTGCACCGGCTGTGGAGACGCGGGTGATGGTCACTCAGATGTGCCATTAGATTCGAAGTGTTGCTGCCTTTTGCAGACACTTGTTTCCTGCACGTTCTGCAAACGGGATAGCAGTCTTCTATTAACTGTCCTTCAGCGTTTTTCAGAAATCCAAAATATGCCCATACTTCCGATTTAGTCTTCTTTGAGGGCTGATGGATGTCCTGGGCGCTGCCGTCTCCTCCTTCGGCCATTATTTCAGCTTCAAAGTTTTGGTGCCGTTGCAAATTAAAAAGTGCCTGTGCGCGCCGCGGGAACTTCAGCTGAAGCGACGGTGGCTGGTAAGGGTCATCGCGCCGAAACCGCGGCCACGGTAAATCCACCGAGATAATTTAGTTTTTTAAAAACTGGACGGTTATTTTTATTGTCAACTTTTTTACCGGGGTTTACCGCTATACCGGTTACCGTGACAACCCTAGTTTGAACCCAAACACAGTCACACAACAACCTACCCTCAGGTATCTTCACTGGATCTGTGTCCAGCAGAACCGGAAACCCACATTGCCGGAGGATACAAGAAAGTACTAAATACCAGATCATAGAATTGTCTATTTGCATTCTGTCACCTGTGCCATTATTTCTGGACGCATCTACCAGCACATTTTTTCTCAGTCAAGTCGCGCGATTTGCCAGTCTGCATCTGTCGGCATGACAGACACACCTCAGCAATTTTAAGACAGTGTGCTGGTTTGTTTAGCTGGGGCGCTTGGTAGAGCTGAGGAAAATAAGGTAACAATTGATGCATTAAGATGCGGACATAAACTATTATGAAACTTTAAAGAAGCACACCATACTCGATTATAGCGGCTAGTTGCTAGCATTAGCCACTTTCTTGCTCCATCTCTAAGCGGTCACTAAGCTTATTCTCACACGTTTGCTCGATCAGGAAACCTCTGGGTCAATGTTCTGCTCTAAACGCTGCATTTAGCTTTGTGACTTTTATTATTTGGAGACGTTTGTGTGTGTTTTAGCGAGCCTTTTCACCGTAGCTGCCACCCAGAGCGTTTTTGCCAAACCCCTCCCCGCGCAATCAGGAAACATCTACGTAAAGCAGTGCGGGACAAATAGTGACTGTAATAGGGAGTGTAATCCTGACTAGAGAATACATGAGATGAGGATGCATCATGAATTAAATTTATGTATTTTAATGGTAAATTACTTCCAAAACATCAGAATTATCAAAATAGAAAAATCTTGATCGTGATTTTGCAAAAACAAAATTGTGATATGATTATTTTTTCCATATCCCCCACCCTTATATCGCAATATATCATATCGTTTCCCCTGTATCGTGATACGTAATGTATCGCCAGAATTTCAACAATACACATCCCTAGTTTTTAGACAAGTGCGAGAGAAGCACTTTATTCACTTGTTTTCATCCCAACAGTATATTTATAGCTTAACTATGTCAGAACGTTAAGAGGCATGATAATATTTTAAGATAATTTAGGGTAAATATTAGGGTTTCAAAATGAATTCCATATTCAACAGGAGTGGTTCTGGTTCTGTCTCTACTTCTGGTACCAGTTAGGAGTCTGTCTACAGAAGTCAGAACCAGCTGCTGGTTCCTGAGTTAGTAATGATTGGTGCGGTCTGATCAAACGTCAGTTATGTTGATAATTAAGTTTTTCAGCCAAGTCAGATTTACCAAGTTACTGAATAAACAGATAATGTCATACAGTTACTACAGTAGCAAAACATCAAGTAGTTTAATTGTTTGGGTCAGACATTAAAACATGTTTATGTCAGAACGTCTGGATGCAGGACGTGTTTTTAGTCTTCACCTCCTGTAACAGCCAGTCTGGGCAGAAATCAGTGCTGGCAGCGGGTGGTAGTTTCGATCAATGCTGTGTGTGTGTGTGTGTGTGTGTGTGTGTGTGTGTGTGTGTGTGTGTGTGTGTGTGTGTGTGTGCGTGCATGTATGTGCGCTACATCTCTACAGTGTGTGTGAAGTTAGACAGCTGAGGTGTCTGGAAACGTTCTGAGTTCTGTTAT